ATATAGATGAGAAGACTGCGACTGAGGTTGAATAAATCGCTCAAGATGGCAGCGTCGGAATCTCGACTGTGCAAACGGACTGCGGAGCCTCGCCTGTACCCACCGCCTCTCATTACTATAACTGAGCGTGCACGAGGACTTTAAGGAGGGAGAGAAGGGGCTAGGAAGGCCAGGGGAGGGGCAAGAAGCCCTAAAGAGGGGGACGGAAATGGGCTGCACAGCCCAAGGCGGGGACGCCCCTTAGACAGGAGGGAGGGGAGAAACCTAAGGGAAGAGGTGGAAGGAGGCAGGAAGGAGAGCGAGTCGGGGCCGAGATACACTGGTCTGTTGACAGAACTTACGGAGCCCGAGCCCGCGCCAGGCGTTCAGTGGGCTCGCGCAGGGCACAGGCCTGGGCGCCCTATACTGTGTAAGGCGACCTGCGCCGCAGCGAGGCGGGCGGGACCGGCACTGGCGCGGGGGAGCGCCGCGGGCAGCCCAGAGTCACCGAGCCGCAAGAGCACCGTCGCGGACACAACACGGGCGGCGGAGCCCACAGTCGGCACGCCCCCTGTGCGGCGCCGGAAGTGGCGCCACGAAGCCAGGCGCGCCTCTCAGCCAATGGCCGCGCGATGCGCCGTCCGACGGTGACCGGCGTGGCGCCTGGGGAGAAAAAGCGGGGGACCCATAGGGCGCGAGAAGGGACCGTCCTTCTACGTTTTTACGTGGCTTACCGCGGCGGTGCAGTCAAGGACAGGCGCCTTTTCCCGCTTCTAACCTAGCTCAGTGACACCACGCAGTCAACTTGAGGCGCGCCTCCCGCCCCGGAGCTGCCCTCAGTAAAGATGGCGGACTGGCGCGGGGCGCTGGGGAGAGCGCCGGAAGTAGGCGTGGTGGGAGGAGCCGGCAGGGGGCGGGGCGGGGCCTGGCTGCCCAGAGGCCGGGAGGGGCGTGGCCAGCCGCCCCAACAGGGTTTGGGTCAATGAGGCGCACAAGTGCAGCCGGCGGAGTGGCTCCGCGGCCTCCTGGGGGCGGATCGCCGCTGGCCCGCCCCAGCCCAGCCAGCCCCTTCTTGGAGGTGCCCTGTGAGTCTCCGAGATTTGGCCGGAGTTGGGGTGCGGGCAGGTCCCTCGGCGGTGCGTCGCGGCGATGGAGGGCGCGCAGGGGAGCCCCCCGGTGTCGCGCTCCCCCGTCCCCGGGTCTGACGAGCCCGCCGGCGCGGCCAGGGGCCCCGGGGGGTTGCCTCCCGGGGAGTCGGAGGGCTGCGCCCGGCCCCTCGAGACGGCCCCCAAGAAACTCTGTGGGTATTTGAGTAAGTTTGGCGGCAAGGGGCCCATCCGGGGCTGGAAATCCCGCTGGTTCTTCTACGACGAGAGGAAATGTCACCTGTATTATTCGCGGACTGCGCAGGATGCCAATCCCTTGGACAGCATCGACCTCTCCAGCGCGGTCTTTGACTGCAAGGCGGACGCCGACGAAGGGACTTTCGAAATCAAGACTCCCAGCCGGGTTATTACCCTGAAGGTAAATGCAGTGTTTTTCTCCCTTTCAGCCGGGATGGGTTCCCAGGGCACGGCCGGCATGGGGAGGTGGTCACCGGGAGCGACGATCACCCCGGTGAACCCTGGGTGCCCAGGGATTTATGCTTTCCAGAGCGCATTCCCGCCCATTTCCCTTGGGTTCCTATGACAAACGCGGGGATGATGGACCCGTATTACTACGGATCAAGAAACTGAGTCATGGAGAGAGAAAGTGACTGCCGAGGTCCCGCACCTAGAGAGCGGGGTGGCCCACACTTGGAGTCCCGTAGGCTTTCTGCTCTCAGTACTGTATGAAAACTTTTCCTTCTGAGTGTGCGTAACCCTGCAGTTCCATCACGTTCTTACTTGGGGCTGAAGTATAGTCAAGATATGAGCTTTACGGTCCCCTCTCAAGGCCCAGATTTGGAATCGCTTTTCTTGATGTTTTGGCTAAGGAAAGTGCATGCTGAGGAGATGTTGACAGGGATTGGAAGATAAGCCCTTGGGTTTCACTGATCAGCCTAGGTTGTTCACCGAGGCGTGCCTAAGCCTGTTTTCCCCTCAGCAGGTTTTGTTTTGTCTTCACGTTTAACTGAGAAAGCCTGGAACAGTGGAAGGGCCATGTGCTTTGAAATCAGGCAGGCTCGGATTCAAATTCTACATCAGCTACTTACTGGCAGTGTGACCCGGGGCAAGTTACTTAGCTTCTCAGAATCTAGGAGTTTCTAAGATTTAAAACAAGGTGTGTAAGCATCTGGCTCATCATAGGCACCTACAAATTGTTGAATTAATCCCGGCACCCTAGAGTACAGCCTGGCACCTAGTGGCTCAATAAATGTTTGTTGAATGAACACACATGGTTATGGAACCAAGGTCAGAATGTTCATGTAAAGAAGAGGTGCTTCAGAAATTAATTGGAAAGACAGATCTGGACTCAGAGTTCTGGGCTTCGCACGCATCAGAGTAGAGGGTGCCGGGAGACAGCCCCCCTCCTACCCCATCTTCCCACCCCTCCACCCCCACCTCCAGCCAGCTGGGTATCTAGTGAGCCCCCTGGATGTAGCCCACAGCTTCACTTCCCCTTTACTGGCCGGCCTGGCTGGTGACCAGGCTGCAGGGATCAGCTAAAATAATACAAATCAGGAATTCCAGGCCAGGGAAGGCAGGCATTCTAGAGTTCAAGTGGTTTATGGGTCCTGGGTCTTCTCCCACAGGTTGAATGCTGTCTACAAGGTCTCCAACACAGGTCTTTTACTATTCCATTGATCCGGGTGTGTGCCTGGCTCTGTGCTGGCACTAGGGTGTGGAGCCAAGTCAGACTGCCCTCTGGTGCTCAAACAGCCTAAGGTCTGGTGAGGGAGACAGGCACGCACAGATAAGTCTGTACCAGAAAAGTGTGGTGACAGGGAGTCAGTTCACTGAGTGGGAGGGGTCATCCAAAAAGGGCGTCACAGGGGAGGGGATGACACCTGAGGCTTAAAAGAGGAGATCGGTTTTCTATGAGCAGACAGGAGGGAGAAGGGTATTCCAGGCCAAGAGAGCCCCAGAGCAAAGACAGGAAGACGTGATACAGCCCAGAGTGTTTGGGCGGCTCACAGGAGTGTGGGATACAGAGGGGCCAGAAGGATGGGGCAGGAGAGCAGCGGCCGGAGGGCGGGGCGTTTGTGAATTAGGCCAGGGAGCCTGGACTTTGTCCTCTTGGCTGTGGGAGCTTGTCACAGAGCTTTAAGCAAGGAAGTACCAGGAGATTCGATTGTTTAGAAAGCTCAGTCTGGCTCTTGGGTGGAGAACAAATGAGGAGAAGGCAAGGCTGGTGATCAGGGAGTCCATCAGGAGGGGACCAGGAGAGGATGATGGCTAAGCCAGACCTGTGACAGTGGGGAGGGGGCCAGGTGGGGGTGGCTAGGGATGGGAGGGAGGCGTCGAGATGGCTTGTTTAACTTGCTGACTGCCTGGTTGGGGCAGTCACTGACAGGAGAGAACCCAGGGTGAGGACACCGTAGCACACGCAGGTATATGACCCCCCTCTGTAGACTCTTAAGTTCCGAGAGGATAGGGGCCATGTGTGTTGGCTCACCACAGCATCTCCAGTGCCTGCCACAGTCCCTGACACGTAGAGTAGGCACTCAGTATCCACCGGTAGGATGAATCGATAAGATGAATTAATAAGATTTGGGGGTGGGCTGGAGCTTGTCAGCGCAAGATCATGGTGGAGCCCTGGGAGGGGGTGAGGTCTCTCACGGAAAGTGTATAGAAAGAGAAGACGGGTGGGCATCATTTTATCTTGTTTGATGCCTCCATGTCAGGCCGAGGGCCTCTTTCATGGAGCCCCCAGCCTCGTGCACACCTCACCTGTGGGTGTCTGGAGCAGGGAGTTTGCCCTGATTGCCTGTGGCCTGCTACTGTTCTCACATGACCTTGACTGTGGGCAGCTCTGTGCCTCACCATCCACTCCTGGCAAGCTGCCCTGCTTCTGCAACCCGGCTGACCCCAGGCCTTCTCTGTGTAAGCAGCTGTTTCCTAGCCGTAAATTACACCAGAGCTCTGGTCTAGACGTGGGAGACCCGGGTTCTGGGACCAGCTCTGTCACCACCTGCCTGGGTGACTTCAGAGCCTGAGTTTCTCCCTCTGTGGAAGGGGCTGGTCACGCCTGCCCACCTCCCTCCTGGAGGACCTGGCGACGTAACAGATGTGGGAGTAGCTGTTTGGACCATCGAGTGCTGGGAGACTAGTGCCCAGCACCAGCCATTACCTCATTTGGGGGCCTGGAGGGGGCCACTGTGTTGTGGTAGTATGCATATGGCTTTCCAGTCCCCAATCATATTCATGATTTCGGTGCATCCCCAAAATAGGAGGAATTCTCCTCAGGCCACAAAGTCAGCTAAGACCTTGAGATGTCACAGGGAGATAGTGATGGTACCAGGGCCCCTCCCAGGTCCAAATTTCAAAGCTTTTCCCCTCTCTCTCAGTACCTCCAGATTCCTTTCTCCAGGGAGCACGTTTTGAGCTCCCTGTGTCAGGTCCTGTGCTGGGCACTCCCCTTCCCTTCCCTCAGTGCATCCTCATAACCACGCCGTGAAATGAGTGCTGTCGGCTCCACGGTACAGGTGAGGAAGCGGAGGCGCAGAGGGTTAGGGAGCCTCTGAGTGGGAGACCGAGCCTCACTGTCTTCTGCGGCCAAGAAGCGTGTGCTGTCTCTGAGGTGGCACCCATCCACAGTTACAATGTCTTTTCCAGGAAGGAGAGAGTTACCAAGCCCCCGTGCCCTTCCCGCGTCCCACACCCAGTGCCACACGCGCACAGGGCCCTGCCAACTAACCCTTGTGCTTCTCAGGCTGCCACCAAGCAAGTGATGCTGTACTGGCTGCAGCAGCTGCAGATGAAGCGCTGGGAGTTTCACAACGGCCTGCCTGCTGCCCCCGACGCCGCCCTGGCCGGGAACGGGCCCGCCCTGCGCCTCGAGCTAGGTACCCAGGGGCTCGCCTCCTGCACCACACCAGGAACTGTTGGTGACAAGCCTTTACCCTCCAGTTGGGAGTGAGTGGGGGGAGCCCTCTGCTGAAAAAGCAGAGAGCCAGGGAGGTGACTCAGGATCAGTTAGGGCAACAGGATAGCCTCGAGGGCGAGAATACGGGCTCTGAGGCCAGACTGCCTGGTACCAGTCCTAATCCTGTGCAGTCTTAGGCAAGTTGCTTAACCTTTCTGAGCTTTAGTTTCCTTCCCTATAAAATGAAACCTAATAAATTATACCTGCTTGTTAGGGTTGTTACGAAGAGTAACTGAATCCGTACACCTTAAGGGGTTGGAACAATGCCTGCACATGACCAGTCTTGATAAATAGCTACTGCTGTGATGACTGTTATGGGGAGGTGTCAAGAAATGAAACTTTCACAGAGTTGCTGTGAGGACGGTTAAAGAGAAAATGCAGTTGTTGTTGTTGCTTCTTACACAAATGCTTTTGTGCTGTGAGTTCCTAGATGAGTGGTTTTCTCCCTGGTGTTCCCGTAAGGCAGAATCCTTTACCCCCATGTGGCCTATAAGTGAAGTTTCTTGACCCCAAATCCTAGAACATCCCAGCATGGGGGGGTCCTGGGGATCATGCCTTCTTGGACCTGTGTCGTGGCCAGGAACGTGACAGGCAGAATTGGACCAGACCACCCACAGCTCCCCTGCAAGAGCGTGGAGAGTGAGGTCCCAGCACCAAGCCGAGCGTGACTAAGATGCGTCATCCTCAGTTGACAGGGAAGCTGGATGGGCGAGGGCAGGACTTGTGGCCAGGCGCCTCCTAGACCCCCGTACTCAGGTGTTTTAACATGTCCCAAACTGAGCTCCTGCGCTGGCCCCTCTGCTCCCCCAGTTTCCTTCCCTCAGTAAATGCCCCCATTTACCCAGTTGCTCCTATAACCAGGAGCCCCACTCACCCTTCCTTGGCTCTCAGTTCGCGAGCCCAGTCAGTCTCCAGTGCTGGCCGCGTTGGCCCTCTGGGCTGCATGTCAGACCCGGCACCCCTCAGTGCCATTGCTGTGGGTCAGGCCTCAACTCTTAGCTGGAAAGTCACAGCAACATCTTCTCCGGTGTCCCCGTGTCCCCTCCTGCCACCTCCAACCGTCCTCACTGCAGCCAGAGTGAGCTTTCTAATGTGAAAGCCTAGCCCCATGCCCTCCACGGCCACCCGCCATGTCCCTGTCCCACTCCCAGTGCTTTGGCCTGGTGCTCAGGCCTGGCCTTCTTGTCTCCCCTCTGCCTGCTCGCCCTGTTTTACGCTTCAGCAGCACAGGGGCGGCCCTGCTCTCTCCTCTGCGTGCCAAGTTCCTGCTGCTGCTGTAGGGCCAAGCTTCGGTGTCACCTCCTCCACTTGCCAGCCTCCTCTGAGAAGCCTCTGGACCTTTGCTGGCTGGGCTCTGTATGTACCCGCAACCCTTTTTTCAGACGGTTCTGCGAGGCCTGTCACACTGAGTTCTCATTACCATGTCCTTGTCAGTCTACACACTAGCCCTCGGGGGGCGGGGGCTGGGTCTTTGTCACCTGTGACCCCAGTACCTGGTGCCCTCCCTGGCGTATTGGATATTTGTCGAGTGAATGTGTGAGTGAACATTGAATTTTGAAACTAAAGGAGGAAAGGAATGTGAAGCCCTCAGCGTCATGCCAGGTGCTCAGAAGTCGTCAGCGGCTGGTAGCTGTCCTGACAGTGTTGTTAGGGTGTGTGCACAGGTGCACGAGTACTATTATCATAATTGCTCCTTTTTATTGTTAATAATAGTCATCAGTAATTTCTTCGGAGAACATTCTGGGCATTTTATGCTTGTTGGGCTTTCTTTGGGGAAGGGTTTGTCTTTGCTTCTGTGCTTCTGCTCCACCTCTCGTCCCCTTTCCCTGTCCGCCAGAGAGCCACACAGCCCTGGCTGTGCAGGAGGCTGTAGCCACAGCTGAGCGGAGATCAGCCTCAGGCTGGAAGTAACCAGAAACCGGTCCTGAACTCAAATTGGGAGAACCAGGTTATCGATTGAATGGCTTTGGGATCGCGCAGGTTCTGCTGCAGTGCGGACCCCTTTCCAGGTTCTTGACCTCGGTGGCCGTGGTTCGGCTCACTCTGGCAGCGCAGGCTCTTCTGCGCCAGCCCCTGCTGTGGCCTGAGGGAGGGGAGTGGTTGCTGCAGTGACCTGGGCACCAGTCTCCTGCTGAGGATGCTGTGGGGATGCAGACGGCTGGGACACGGCAGGGACACAGGCTTCTCCTCTGAAGCCTTTCCGTCCCCAGCAAGCCTTCACCTTCCTGGGCCCAGGGCCCCTGCGAAACCCTCCCCCAGCCCACCCAGAAGGATGTTTCTAGAGCCTTAAGCAAGCTGGCAGGCCCTGGATTAGCTGTATGGAGCAGGTTGCCCCACCTCTCCCGTCTCCACCCTTCCTGGGAGGAAGCGGGGGCCTGCTCTCGGGGCAGCGAAAACCCACTGACTCACCGCTGACTTTGCGTCACAGACGCCCGTCTGTAGCAAGAGTCTTATTACTGCCCTTGAGCAATCTGCAAGGTGTGTTCTCTACAGCTTTTCAGCGTTCACACCTTTATTTTACACTTTACCTAAATATTGATCTCCACAAGAGCCAAGGGGAAGTCAAGGGGAAGCCAAGAGACTTAGAATAGTCATAATTTGTTGCTAGGGTAGGACACAATTTACAAAGTACTTTTATGAATGTCTATCATCATAAAAATATGCATAGCACCTCTGACACTTGCCGTGCATCAGCTGTCTAATCGGCGCAGTGATCTTATGAGTTAGTTACTGTTACTCCCATCTTACAGAAAAGGAAACTGAGGCTCACAGAGGTCAGGGGACCTGTCCAACGTCACACAGCAAGAAAATGTCAGCACTGACATTTGAACCCTAGTGTGCAGACTCACACCCTCCTCCTCAAGCTGAGGAGACAACTGACCGTGTGTCCAGGGTCCTCCGGGAAGAAGTGACCTGCTGGCCCTTTTTGTTGTGATGACTTCTTCCTCCTGGTGCTGGGGCAGCCTCTAGGGCTCAGGCAGAAGGAGAATTACGAGTAAATGCTGCTGAAAATTCTTTGTGTGGTTCCCTCACTGAGGGCATTTCTCCAGGCTGGAGAGGGGCCCAGAGGCCCCAGACCTGAGCCTTGGGTCATCAGTTCTATTTCCTACAGAAGGTTCTCCCTCACTGGCATCCCCGTCATGGGCCGCCCGCCCGTGGACATGCTTCGCTCGGGGAGCTCACCCCTTCCTGGGCAGCCCCGCCCTTCTCAGAAGCACCTGCTTGTCGGAAAGGCAGCTGTGATAAGCCACAAGTGGCAGTGGAGAACCGAGGCACTGCATGTGAGTTCATGGCTCTGCCGCCAGGTGTGTGACCTTGGCCTCGAAACTGGCCCTTGGAGCCCCTGTCTCCTCACTGGTGAATCCAACCAGTGGTAACATTGACTCCCAAGACTTAGTTGTGTGGCCTCAGAGTAAGTAGACCTAGGGCCACAGGTGGAAGTTAAAGGAAAGCATGGGCAGTGAGGGAAGTACCTGCTATGACATTAAGGTCTTAGGCAAATTGTAATTTTTTGGTTTGTTCAGAATGAGGCAAAATAAAGATGGTTAAAGTGTTGGTAAACAAGAAAACCTTAATTATTGTGAATCAGCTCAAAATCTGGATTAAAGACTACTTTTGAGAGATGGGAGTCCACATTATGGTTTCCTAAATGTTTTCATGTACTTTGACTTTGAAGAAGACAGCGTGGAGAGTATTCTTCTGTTTTAAAAATAGGGACCCTGAGGATGGAAGAGGAAGAGTGGTCTCCGGCCGGGTCACAGCCGGGTCACGGCGCCTGCCCAGCAGACACGTGGCTTGGCCTCAGGCCTTCCAGTTCTACAGGTGTAGCTCTTTCTGGTTGGCCGGGCTCCTCCATGCTCCTGCTGAAACCCCCGGGGGGCTCTGCCGTTCCAGCCAGACCAGATCCCCTCTTGGCCGTCCCCTCCCATTTGTCCTTCCAGCCCCGTCTCCTCTGGGTCCCTCCCGGCATCCTCAGCTCTGGGTCTGGATCCACTTGCTGCTGCCTGTACTTACACACACGGCAGGATCCTCCCTCCCCCCTTCTGCAGGTCCACATCATCTCCAGGCCCAGCTCCAGGGCCCCTCTTCCAGGAAGTCTTCCCTGACTGAGTTGGAGGGCATCTGTCTCTACCTCCCGGAACTCCCCCGCACGTTGTCTGGCCTGTCCTCCAGCTTCCACCCACTCAGTCTTCTGAAGTGTGCACTTCTCCCCTGCTCCCTATGCGGGAGCTTCCTGCGCCTTTGGTTACCTCCTTTCTCCAGCCCCACATGGAAACCTCAGGGGAGAGGCCCAAAGTGTTCGTGAGGAAGTGAATTGAAGGAAGGAACTCAGAAGAGTGACTCTTGGTATTGTCAGGTACGGGCCAGCCTGCCCAATGTGAAAGAGTCTATCTTTTGTCGTTAGTGCCGCCCAGTCGATTCCGAGCCCCAGCGCCCCTGTGGACAGCAGAGCGGAATCCTGCTCGGTCTTTCTGCGCGATCCTCTCACCTAGCGGTGCCGTATCAGACAATGCTCTGCTGCTATTCACAGGGTTTTCATGGGCAGTCTTTCAGAAGCAGGTGGTCAGGTCCTTCTTCCTCGTCTGTCAGTCTGGAAGCGCCACTGAAACCTGTCCACCATGGGTGACACTGCTGGTATTTGAAATCCCAGTGGCACAGCTTTCAGCATCACAGCAACATACTGCTGCCACAGTAGGACAACCAACAGACGGGAGGTGTGGTTCCCTGACCGGGAAACGAACCCGGGCCACAGCGCTAAGAGCACCGAGTCCTAACCACTGGACCACCAGGGCTGGCTGCAAGAGCCTCTTAGGAGTTAACAAGTGTGTTGTTTGCAGAAAGTTTATCTCTGAGTAGATTGAACAACTACCCCGCCCCCCCCATTGTATTTAATATTTTGGTGCCCACAGCCTTTTTGCACATGTAGTGTGAAAATAATTTCCTCTGCCCCTATGTTTTTTACCATCCCCGTAAGAGGGCTCCAAGTGAAAGGTGTCTGCTGCCCTGGAGGCCTCAGGGGCTGCCTGAGCAAGGTCATAGCACCCCGAAAGTGCCGTAAGTGGCCTTAGTTCCCTTCCACTTTTTGTAACACTCAAACCTAACTTCTAAACATTTCACCTCCTCTCTTTTTTACCTCAAATAATGTCTCCTGAGCCTTGAGACCTTCCTTAACAGTAAACCTGTTGAAATATTGACTATGTAAGAGTCATTGTTTAAGCAGAACTTTTGGAAAATAGAAAAGTAGAAGAAAAAGTGGCATAATCCTATCACCCAGAGACAGCCAGTGTTAAGGTTATGACCTGATGCTGCCTTTTAGGTAAACGTTTGGATCATATAGTGATACAAAACGCCCTACTTTGCTTTTTGGTACTCAGTATTGTGACCCTAAAATTTCCCTGTGTTATAAAATCTCTTTGTAAACATCTACTTTTGATGAATATATAGTATTTTTCTGGTTAGAAAAGTAACCCAGGTTTACTGTAGAAATTTGGGAAACAACAGTAAACTGTAGTGAGAGTCGGCTGCTCACTGCCGGTCCCGTCATGCAGTTCTGACCAGTGTTAAGACTGCAGAGTGTAATTCTACGAGACCGTTTCCGCACAATGGAGATCATACTGTAACACCCATTTTGTACCTGGCTTTTTCCGCCTAATATCGTATCCCAGGCACGGTCCCCGTGATCTGAAGCGTTCCCCGCCAGTACCATTTTAAGTGGCTGAGTGACATTCCATTGTCTGAAGGCATCATGATTCATTTAACTGGTCCCCGATCTTTACCTTATTCCCACTTTGAGGCTAAACAATGCCATGATGAACCTCGGCTCATAAAGCTTTGTCTGCATTTCATACAACTTCTCCGGGCTGGATTCTTAGATGTAGAAATACCTGCGCTTCTGCATCTTTTTGCGGGTCTCCAGGAATGCTGTCCCAGGGAAATGCAGTGGTTGACTGGCTGCAGAGCCTTTGGGGTGAAGCCTGCCTCTGCGGCCGCTGTCAACCTTTGTAAGGAAGGCTTGCTCCTGCAGCTCGCTGCTCCCAGTTGGAGCTGAGCCCATAGCACCCCTGTCCAGTCTTTCTGAGCACCTTATCTGGTGGATGATTTCCTTGTCTTTGTTCGCAGAGCAAGAGGAGGCAGAGCTGGAGGAGTTCCTGTGCCCCGTGCAAACGCCCCCCGGGCTCGTGGGCGTGGCTGCTGCCCTGCAGCCGGTCCCTGCCCAGTCCTCGGCCCTTCAGAACATTTCCCTCAAGCACCTGGGAACTGAAATACAGTAAGTGCCAGTGGGGCTGAGGGGCTGCCAGGCTGCAAGCAGCCCCTTCTCCGGAGCTCTGGGAGACCGGGCGATGCCCCTGCAGGGAGTGCGCCCGCCGAGGGCTTAGGGGCTTTACCTTGAATTCACTGCGTCCTTACTTGAAAATATTACATTCCTTGTTCTGGTTTTAAAAGTAGTGCTTGTTCTTTGTAGGAAATTAGAAACATCTAGAAAGGAGAAAATTTAAAAGTACCCCTAATGCTGTCACCCAGACAAGCATCCTCAGCATTTGGTGTATGGCTTCCCTCTGCATTCTCTGTAGATGTATATACACATTGAGATCACACTGAATGTAATGTGGCAATGGCCTGGCAGTGGCCTCGCAACGTCCACATGTGCCAGACGCATCAAATGGTTCACTTTTAACATGTGTAATTTATTGTACGTCAGTCGTATCTCATGTGTTTTTTTCATTTAGTAATGTATTTTCTATACAATTTCCCATTGGCAGGCTTTGTTAGAAATAGTTTAATAAGAAGGCAGCAGCCTAGCCTCGGCTTTGGAGCTGAATTGCCTGCATTTGTATCCTGGCTCCACCAGTCATGGGCTGTGCTGCCCTTGGCAGGCTGTTTGATTTCTCTGTACCTCACTTAAATTGTTAGTAAATGTCAATAAACCGTGCTTGCCTTGCAAGATTAGTGTGGGGGTTAATGGGTTAACGCGCGCAGACTGCTTCAGAGCTGTGCTCGCAGCCCGTAAGCACTTAATATTTGCTGCTACTCTTGCTCTAACCGAAGGAATGGAAGCTTTAGGAGTTCAACCCCAATCCTCACCCTGTTTGGGTGCTTATTTTCTGTGTGGAGTTGAGACAAACTGGGACCTCTTAGAAAGCAGAAAAGAGTGTTTGCTGGACTCGGGTTAGAGACCGCTGGCTCTGTGTAACTCAGGCGTAATGTTTCTCTGTCGGCTTCAGTGTTTGCATTTGCCTGGGTGACTAGGAGGGTAGTGACGCTGTTCCCAGGAGAGAAACAGGTTTCAGGGAAAAGGCGATGAGTGTCCTTTAGGGCCTACTGGCTGGAGGTAGAACTACCCGACAGGCATTTGGATGGAGGGGCCTGGAACTGGGGAGCGAGATCTGAGCTGGAGAGAGAGACTTGCAGGGGCTGTGGGCATGGTTGAGGCCCCCAGGGTGAGCGCACAAGGAGGATGCCCTGCAGGGGATGTTCCCTCAGGGTTGCTGGAGGAAACTGGTGTATTGGGAGCCTGCCGTTGGAGAGAGGGGCCTGAGAAGTCCAGCCACCCCACCAGTGTACCAGGGCGGCCTCACGACTGTTAAGCCAGGTTCGTGCCTGACAAAGGCCACAGAGAGCAGAACAGAGAACATGCAGAGACCAAGAACGGGAGGAAGTTTCAGGAACAGTCTGTTACTTCCCTCCTGACACTTGTAACAACCCACAGAAAGTACAAGGCCGCGTTGCAACATGCCCTGGACTGCTGAGAGCCCCGGTAAGACCAGGGTTGCCCTCGTCTCCTGCACCCCCTTGCCCTGGCTGGTCTTGGAGCTTGCTGTTGTGTCTGCCATGAGCCCAGGTCATCCTCGGGGGGAAGGGAGGAGGGGAGCTTCCAGAGAGCACTGTGCTAGGTGCTTCATCGAGTGTCTGGACAAGCCTGTGAAATGGAGTCATAAGAGCTGGGTTCTCAGACCATGGAGTTAGAAGTCCAGGGCTGATGCTCAGCCCCACCACTTACTAGCTCTTCTGCTTAGCTACTTATCTTTTCTGAAAATCTCAGTTCTCCTCTCTGTAGAGTGGGTGATAATACTGCTTACTTCATTGGGCTGTTGTGAGGATTAACTGAGTTAGCTTAGAGCCTGGCTTCTGGAAGGGCCCAGTCGTTGTTTGTTGTGGATGTCGTTCATCCTTCCCGCTGCAGTTGAGGAAACCCAGGCTCAGAGAGGATAAATGGCTTGCCCATGATTATCCTTCCAAAACAAGTCTTTATGACTGCTACCCCCATGCTGGCCAGGCCTTTCAGACCTGGAGCTAAACCTACACAGGAAATGATCTATGAACTCCTCCAGGCTAGTCAGTTAGTTTATGAAATGGAGATGCCTCTTCCAAGCACAGTAGTTTGGTTGGGTGGTGGCCTCTCTCCATCCCCAGAGGAGATGTGCACTAGGGCTTAGAAGGCCCTTTGGTGCCCTGAAGTTGGGGCTTCTGTGCCCTCCTACACCCCCAGGATGACTGCTTGTGAGCCCCTGGACATGTTGGAGAGGCTGCAGTTCCTGGGCATGGGGAAGTATGGGCAGCAGTGGTGGTCACCGCACCCGGCCAGGGCCTCCGGCTATAGGGATGTGCCCCTGGGTCGTCTCCGGCTCATGTGCCCTGTGGTTTGAGGGATGCACGTAACAGGGCTCAGCACCAGACCCAGCACAGAGTGATACTCAGTGCATAGTGCCCCTCATGATCATCGTTACTCTTTTTAATATGACCACCACCCTTTTATTTTTAGATGGAGAAAGGAAGAACTAGAACGAGAAAGTGACCAGCCCAAGGAGTGGGCTCCTCATAAGAGGACCTTAGTAATAACAGAGCAAAAGGAGTCAAAGACCAGATTTCAAGTTTGTGTGTTAGGAGTGCTCAGTTCTAATTTCTTCTCTGCTCTTAATTTAACTAATTAATTTTTCCCTCCATCAGTCAGCTGTACTTTCCAATAAAGTACAGTCTCATTCTTTCCTATTCAAGACTCAACTATACCAAAAAACTGAATTTTGTTCTAAAAATAAGGTTCAGATCAAATGATGGTTGTTTGCAAAGATCGACAGAATTGACAAACCTTTAGCTAGACAGACCAAGAAAAGACATAAGACTCAAATTTCTAAAGTTAGGAACAAAAGAGGAGACATTACTACTGACGTTATAGAAATAAAAAGGATTTTAAAGGAACACTATGAACAATTCTATGTCAACAAATTAGATAACTTAGATGAAATGGACAAATTCCTGGAAAGACACAGATCACTGAAGCTGACTCAAGAAGAAATAGAAAATCTGAATAGACCTGTAACAAGTAAAGAGATTGGATTAACTGCCCCCCCCCCACACACACACACAACAACTAGGACCAGATAACATTACTGGTGAATTCTACCAAACATTTAAAGAAGAGTTAATGCCAGTTCTTCACAGATTCTTCCCAAAAAAAACAAGAGGAAGGGGGCAGCCTGGTGGCACAGGAATTGAGTTTGCACATTCCGCTTTGCTGGCCTGCCATTTGCCAGTTCAGATACCGGGTGCGGACATACACACTGCTTGTCAAGCCATGCTGTGGCAGGCGTCCCACATATAAAGTAGAGGAAGATGGGCAATGGGCACAGATGGTAGCTAAGGACCAATCTTCCTCAAAAAAAAAAAAAAAAAGGAAAACGTCCCAATTCATTCTATAAGGCCAATATCATCCTGATACCAAAACCAAACAAAGCCCACACAAGAAAATATTTTTGAACACCCAGAGCCTTGACCTAGAATTTCTTAGTGTTAATTTTGCCAGCAGGCATGGTTTTTTTCTCACCTCTCTGTAGAGGGTATGGACCTCCAGGAGTCCCAGCTTTATGTAAGAATTTCAACTTTAACTCTACACTTTGCATGAGTCGAAAACCTTTTTTTCTTTCCTCCCTGGCAACCAGAGCTCTAAGTTTCTGGTATCAACAGTTAATCAACTTTTTGTTGTGAGCAGATCCCTTGTTCACATGAAAAAAAAAATTGTAACTATGGTGTAGTGATAGATATTAATTAGATTTATTGTAGTGATTATTTTGCAATATATACATATATTGAATCAATAGGTTGTACACCTGAAACTAATATAATGTGTGTCAATTATATCTCAATTAAAAAAAAATAACAGTTTATCCCTGGACGAACTCATGTCCTGGTCAACTTTCACAATACTGCTGCAAGCAAACACTTCAGAATTCAGTGTCATATAATAAGCATTTCTTTCTCACGCCTCTGGTTCAGCTGATAGAGGCTGGGTTCACCTGCTCTTGACTCCAAGCTCTTGTGAGATCTAGGTCTCTCCACGTATTTCTCTCTTCCACGGACCAGCAGCTAGCTGAGGCATGTTCTTCAGGAGGGCAAGCCCTACTGCAAGCGCATTTTAAGCCTTGTTCACATCACATCTACTGACATCCCTTGGGCCAAAGGGAGTCGTATGGCTGCACCCAAAGTCCAGAGGAAGAGGGGATGTCCTGGAGGTGGGGGGTGAGAGTGAACGTTTGCCGAGCAGTGATGCAATCTGCACCTTCGTCTTCCTCTTTACTGCCCACTTGAGTTTCACCTCCTTTTTCCTATTTAGTCTCTAGGGATTTCCCTTCCCTTCTTGGGAATATTTTTAAAATATGTTGTCTTTATCCAGCAGCTAGGAGTTTGTGGAATAAGGGTTTTTCAGAGTAATTTGTCCACCATTTTGCTAGAAGTGTACGTTGCCCGTCACGATGATACAGCAGAGCCGGGACTCCATCACAGGTCTGCAGACTTTCGCATCCTCTTGTTTTTTGACCATGCTATTGCTGCCCTCTAAGTAAATGACCTCCTAGAGTCGTGTTTTCAAACTGGTGACGATGACCACAGTAAGAAATACATTTTACTTTATGGCTCCGTGCGTATGTTTTTTTTTTTCACAAACTATTTACCCTTTCTAAGTGGGGTGCCTTCTCATATTTTCCATTCCTTTTTTTTTTTGAGGAAGATTGGCCCTGAGCTAACATCTGCTGCCAATCCTCCTCTTTTTGCTGAGGAAGACTGGCCCTGAGCTAACATGCATGCCCATCTTCCTCTACTTTATATGTGGGACACCTGCCACAGCATGGCTTGACAAGCGGTGCCATGTCTGCACCGGGGATCTGAACCAGTGAACCCCGGGCCGCTGAAGCGGAACATGCGCACTTAACCACTGTGCCACTGGGCCAGCCCCTCCATTCCATTTTTTAAATGCTGGTCGTGATACTAAACTGATTTTACAATCTACCAATGGCTCACAACCTGCAGTTTGAAAAACGCTGACCTAGTGAACTCCTTTAATCATTTTCTCCTTTGTTATTAAGTTTGGAATATGTCTACTTTTATCTCTTTGCAAAGGGAAAATACTCAATTGAACTGTCTTTTCATCCAACTCATTATGAATTTCTCTGGTCAGTGGTCGCAGGCCAGCCTCTGGGGCTCCCTAGTTCCCTCCTGCAAACCAAACACGTGTTGAGCCTGCACCCTGGGTACATGCACCCCAGGGCCCGGTGCCCCAGGCACTCAGGTAGGTCAGTGCCCAGTTCTCCAAGAAATGACACATTATGCAGCCCAGACAAGTACTTGGTCAAAGGGTGGCACCTTCCTGAAGTGCGGTAAGCTCCTTGGAGGCTGTGAGATGGTCAGTGAAGGCTTCAGCGAGAGCACATCTGAGCAGGGAAAGAAAGGAGGCAGGGATGCCAGGAGATGCTTGGACCTTTTCTCAGCAGAAGTAGGGAAGCACTCATGGGTTTTGAGCCCAGTAGTCACGAGACCAGATGAAGGTTTCCGAAAGTTAGTCTGGCAGATCCGCTCAGCATTCATTCAACACGAATGTAGTAAGTCCCCCTACATTTCAGGCACTGCTCTAGGCCTTCAGAATATCTCGGTAAACAAAGCAGACAAAGGTCCTGCCTCGTGGGGCATACGCTCCAGCGGAGGGGGTGGGGGGGAGGGCGGGGAGTCAGGCTTATGTTTTTTATGAATCATATCATGTGTGGGAGGTAGTCGGTCCACTGGAAAAATGCAAAGGAGGAGGGGCGGGATCAGGAGTGGCTTGAGTGGGACGCCTCCTTCAGGGGGCCTGGAGTCTGGCAGACTGATCAGGGCCTGACTGGGGGTGGGGACCTGGGGCCTGAGCTCCAGCCCTGGCAGCGGGGGGGCAGAGGGGCAGCATGGCAGGGCTGTCAGCCTCATGCCCCTGCTTTCCTTTCAGAAACACGATGTACAACATCCGAGGCAACAGGCAGGCGCAAGGAGCAGGCCACGGACCTCCAGGGGAGGATTCTCCACCGAGCGGGGAGCCTGTGAGGGAGGAGCAGCCCTTGCCCCCTAACCCCAGTGCCCCAGGTGAGCGTCTGCCCAGGTCTGGGCTGCCTTCAGGGACCGACCGAGTGCCCTCTCTCCTCCCTGAAAACCAGCATTTGTGCATTTGTGTGTCAAAGATGAAACTCTCCAGGTCACTCCTCCTGGGTTTCCATTGGTCTAGTGGCAATGATTATTTTTTTTTTGGTGGTAAAATATAGATAACATAAAATGTACTGTTTTAACCAATTTTAGGTGTGCAGTTTAGTGGCATTAAGTACATTCACATTCTTATGCGACCATCACCACCATCCATCTCCAGAACTCTTCATCTTCCCAAACTGAAACTCTCAGCAATGACTCTTGAAGTAATAAAGAAAAATATCTCTCACTTTTTCTTTCTTATTTTTTTTTTATTTATAAGGAAAGGATATAAAAATGCCATTCTGGGGTGATGAAAATCAGATCTGCCTGGGGAAGCAGAGCAAATGACCTTTAGGTCCCCACCCCAGCTATGACACAGCCCTTTATTATTTCTTTCACAAAATGTGAGTGACCCACACTATCGGGGGGTTGGCTTTTTTGAAATTGGCCATTGGTGCCCTTAAAATATATTCTGACTTAGAAATAGGTGGGAGAAAACTGGCTAAGGCAGCACTGTGAGGTCTTCTTGTGGCAGAGAGGACCCCTGGGCTGTGGAGAAGTGAGCCCCCTTTGGAGCCGTGCCTGGTGAGGCCCTGCAGATCACCAGGAAAAGTCCACGAGAAGATCAATGCCGCATCAACTCAGTACTGGTAATGAAACCAGCACTTACCCGGAGCAGTTCCTTTGTGCCTAGGCTACCGTAAGCACTTTCTTTTTTGGTAACAGTTCTGTTAAGATGTAATTCTCATGCCATACAATTCACCCATTTGAAGTATACAATTCGATGGCTTTCAGTTTATTCACAGAGTTGTGCCACCATCACAATCAACTTTAGGACGTTTTTATTACCCTAAAAAGAAACCCTGCATCCCTCAGCCTTCAGCCCCATCCCTACCTCCCTCCAGCTTTAGGCAGCCTCTGACTGACCTTCTGTCTCCAGAGATCTGCCTGTTCTGGAGAGCTCACCCGGGTGGAATCTACGTACGTGGCCCTTTCTGACGAGCTTCTTTCCCTTAGCAGAACCTTTTCAAGTTTCATTGTGTGCACGAAACACTTTCTCTGCATTAGCCTGTTTAATCCTTGCAACAACCCGCATGGTAGATACTGTCGTTATTCTCATTTAATAAATGGGGTAACTGGGGCATGGGAAAGTGGAGTGACTCGCTCGGGGCCGCACACTGAGGGACAAAACTAGGATTCAGGCTGGGCAGTCTGGCCCCATACTGCTGCCTGAAGCCTAGTTTTCTTTTTTTTTTTTTTTTAAAGATTTTGCTTTTTCCTTTTTCTCCCCCAAATCCCCCCCGGTACATAGTTGTATATTCTTCGTTGTGGGTCCTTCTAGTTGTGGCATGTGGGACGCTGCCTCAGCGTGGTCTGATGAGCAGTGTCATGTCCGCACCCAGGATTCGAACCAACGAAACACTGGGCCGCCTGCAGCGGAGTGCGCGAACTTAACCACTCGGCCACGGGGCCAGCCCCAAGCCTAGTTTTCTAAATCAGTGATCTTTCAAACTATGTCTTTATTGCCATGAAACCTTGACCCTGTGAACAAAATCTATTAGACAAAGCAGGTTAAAGCAGAGTTGAGGCTGGGGCAGGAGTCTGGGCATCCCTCAGCTCCTCGCACCCTCTTCCCCACCCAGTCAGCCCTGAGGCACCCCCATGAAATCCTAGGGCACTGATTGAAAACCCGCTGTCTTAGGCCTTGTTTTCTCCAACTGTAAAATGGGCACAGTGATCCCTACCCTGCCTGCCCTCAAGGCTGGTGGACAATAGTGTCATCAGAGAGCAGAGGGCCACAGGGCGCCCCCTGCTCTCCTGGACCCGGGGCTGGAAAGAGACAGGCAGTGCATTCCTCTGAGCTCTGCTCTCCGCCTTGTACCCAGGCAACCGGATTTCTTTTAAGTCTGAAACAAGGCCGTTCTGTTCTTGTGCCCTGCAAGGCCAGGGAGTTTCTGGTTCCTGTCACCTACTAGAGTAGTTCTTTAGAACTCTTAAAGACTGTTTGGCCAGCCCTCAGCCCAGTGCCCAGAAGAAAGATGCTGTCTTTTAGCTTGTCCTCCCAGCTGTGCCTGCCCCTCCCTGGGATCCCATACCACATCTCTATTTTTAACACCTTAGTCCCAAGAGGATTGAGGACAGTCTACTAAAATACATATCAGGGGAAAGTAAATGAGTAATTGGGGTTAGGAAATTAGATAAGATCCTACTGAGTAACTAAGGGTGGGCAGCCGATATGGCTCTGAGCTTCTCAGCAGCCAAGGCAAAGAGGGAAATGCTAGTGCTTAGATTATTTCCAGTGTCCAGCCTGAACACATATTTTCTTGGAAGACGCAAAGCTTTTTCTGGCTTTGAGGGCTGAGGGGATTTCTCCTGCTGGGGCCCCTCATAACAGCATGATGTGCATGTGCCATGTAAACGAGATTCTCAAAGTCTCCTGACCATATAATCAGGCCATTAAATGTCCCTGGATGCAGACTGGTGGCAGAGCCCTGAAGTACAGGCTGGAGGCAGGGAAAGACAAGGTGGCTTGGATGAGCGACTCTCATGTTGGATTTGATTTAAGAATAAAATTTAGCAATGATCAGCAGATGTTTTCTGCAAGGAGCCAGATAGTAAATATTAGAGGTGTTGTGGGCCATACGGTCTCTGTTGCAAGTACTCAGTTCTGCACTTGTGGAGTGAAAGCAGCACAGACAATGCACACACAAGTGCGCATGACTGTGTCCCAATAAAACTTTATTTACAAAAGCGGGTGGCGGGCCGGATGTCACCTGTGGTTGCTGACCCTGACTCTAGAGGAAACAAAAGGACCCTGCAGCCCTGAGGCAGTCAGCTGCTGGAAATGTCTCTGAACTTGGTGTGTAACAAGAATCAAAGAAGAGTTTGAATTACTCTCTGGGGCAAGAGTGCAGAGTAGACATTCCGTGCTCCCATCAACGGACAGATCTGTCTACTCTGAAAATCGCCCAGAGGGTGGAGGTGCGATCCTGACACAAGAAACAGGACGTCCTGCCAGGGCTTGTGCCTGAGGGCATGGCCACCGGCAGACACCAGCAGGGTAGTAGAGATGGCCCACATGGGCCCGACCCGAGAGAGGGGGACAGGCACCAGTCAGAGGATGGGCTGAGGGACCGGCCAGCACAGTGAAAGTAACGTTTGTAGCATCCAGTGATTCTCTAAGTTTGATCCCTGGACAGGCTGCATCAGCATCATCTAGGACAGTTTCAGAAATGCAGATTCCGGCCCTGCCCCAGCCCATTGGATGAAAGGCTCTGGGAGTAGGTCCCACCATCTGCATTTTCCTGAGCCCCCCCGGGTGCTTCCGCTGCAGGTTCAAGTCTGAGAACTGCTAAGGCCGCTGGCGTAACCTCTGTTTCTCCTCTCGAGCAGGGGATGATCCAGCAGACTCTGCAAAGCCTGCCCCCAAGTCCTCTCTGACCGCCAATCTCATTCAGAAAGCCAAGCGCCAGAACAACACCTTCCCGCTCTTCAGCGAAGGACTCACGCGGAACCGGACTGCCCAGGAGAAAGTGTTGGCCTTGGAGCAGCAGGTTCTGATACTCACCAAGGAGTTAAAGTCTCAGAAGGTGAGCTCTGGCCCCAGAGAGGCCCCAGGCTCCAGTGGACCCCTCTGGGCCTAGAGCCTTTGGACAAGCAAGACGTGACGCGTTAGCCCGCCGGGGCATAGGCCGGTCTGTGGTCCTTCAGGGCCAACTGCAGGGGGCTGGCAGTGCTGTGCTGTTGATTGCTCGGGACATGCTGTCGCTCACACTAGGTGACACAAGGCCGCCAAGGGCTGGGTCTCTGGAGACCCACTTTAATAATCCTCTCGGACCCCTCCTGGAGGACTGTGTGTGGGCTGACCCCACACTCGAAGAGGGACAGTATTTAGAGGAGGGTGATCTGGACGCAAGGTCCTGGGAGGGGCCTGCCAAAGGAACTGCAGCTGGTTCCTAGGTGGAGCTCTCTGAAGGACTGCCACAGGACAGAGCTGGCGGTCTCTGTGGTCCTGGGGCTGAGCCAGGCCAGCAGCGGACAGTGACAGAGAGGAAGATTTATGCTCGATAGAGAAGTTAATCACGGTAGTTAAAAAAGAGAGCTACGTGATCATTGCAGAAAACAGATCACACACAGACACAGAGAGATTAAAATCATCCACAAGTCCTACAACCCAGGGAGTAACTCGTGTTCACATCCAGGGGGCACCTTAGGAGGTAGTGAGGGTCACTCGGCAGGCAGGCGAGGGGCTGCAGCACTGGGCAGAAGGCTCTCTTTGACACAGTAAAAGTGATTAAATTAGCACAGTTTTTACCAAAAACCCCAAGGGTGGCTCCTCCAGTGGTGGGCCCCACTGAGGCCGCAGGCTCCTTTTCCTCTGTGAGGAAGGCCTGAGCTTTCGTGTTTGAGCTTTGGCTGCCTCGAGTCTCTGCATTGTTTCCTGGCTCTTGCTCCCGGGGAGGTGGGGGGTGTACTGTATTTACTTTTGAATATTCTCCCCTTTGTACATTTCTTCTTTTCCTTTCTCTTCTGTTTTTGGAGAAGACAGTCCAGAAAAATGCCCTCCTTACCTAATTTTGCCCCTCCTCTGCCTTTCTTGCCCCTAAGCAGGTATGAACCAGCAGATGCTTCATTCCTGGCAGGTCAGGGGTTCCATTTAATGAGGCAGCTGGTGATTAGAATTCTCAAAGGAGGAAGCTCATACATTCATATGTTCTCAATATATTTGTTTGTTCACCAAGTCTTCATTGAGAGCCTGTTATGTGCACACGGTGTTCCAGGTGTGGGGAACAAACAGGGAGAAAGACACAGGCCTGGCCCTCAGGGAGCTTACATTTATGGCAGACAGGCATTAAGCAAATCAACAGCCAGATACATCATTACAGCATGCGAAGTCCCCTCTGATGCCATGTAGCAGCCCAGCTCTCTCTCCTTTCCTCCGTCATCTCTGTGTTCCTGTTGTGAGGCTGCTGGACGCTCATGAGAGCTGAGAGGGCATTAAGCTGAGCTGTAGCAGCCGTCTGATCCCTGGACCAGTACAGCTTAGTCCCAAACCCAAACCTGGATAGGAAGAGAAGTCGGGAATGTAAATACTGCCTCCCCTTACACCACACCTTCCCCTTCTTTCTAGGAAATACATGCAGCCTTCCTTGCCTTGGCCTTTCCTTCTAAGGAATTATGAATTGTCAGATGAGGTAGAGAGGCCCCAGGAGACCCAGATTTCATTTAGGTTTACCCCGCTGGCTGTGTAGCTCTGGAGGACGCACCATTCGTCAATAAATGAAGGTGAGCTCCAGGAGATCAGTCAGGCTGCGCAGGCTGTTAGCTGCTCCCCCACAGTGAGAGTGAAAATGTCAGGAGGAAGTTGTTTACCCGTTGGAGAATCTGGACTCTCTTACTAGTTCGCTTTCCAGCAAACCTCAGCCCTGTCCTGGGACAGAGAGTCGGGAGAACAGGTCTGGTGGTTTGGCCTTGACTTGCCGTGGGAGTCGATTCCGGGCTCTCTGACCCATCTCGCAAATGCACTTCAGTCTAGTGGGTGATTCAGGGCTCAGGCCTTTAAATAAGATGGCACAGGCCCCCATTCTGGCCCTGAGCAAGTTCCTTAACCTCTCTAAGCCTCAGTTTCCTCCTCTGTAAATGGAGTTATAACTGTGTTTACTGAAGAGGCATGTGTACAGATTCATAAAGCCCAGTGGCTTTGTTATTTTGACTGTTAGAGTGACATTCCCTGCCCTCCTCGTTGATTCCCTCCTGCCTTACAAGAGACACCCACCCCGGAGGGGCTCTGGGAAGAAAGACGTGAGCCCACGAGGGCCTCCAGGAAGTATACGTGTGGGGCATAGCAGTGATGGAGGTCAGATCTTCATTCCACATTAGCAAGGGGGAGCCCCAGTGCTTGCAACTCCAGCCCAGATACCAGAACCAAAGAGGGGATGGACAAAGGGAGACGGACTCTTGGCCCAGAGGTGGGAGGGAGGAGGCTGGCACAACCTTGGGATACCCAGCAAGTGCCCTAGGCACTCAGAAATGCTGGTCAGAGAGCAGCTCTCCATCTGAACACCTCTGGGTCCACTTCCTCAGCTGAGGAGACGACCCCTGGGCTCCCTTGGGCCCACACCTACAAGATGCCCTCCTGTGCGTCTTCCGTGGGAAGGCACCATCTTTCTGCCCAGGGGTCTCGTCCAGCTCAGACAGCCAGGTGACCACTGCCAGTAGCTTAGGAGATCTTCTGAGAATCTGTGTCTCAAACTCTGTTGGATGCTGTGGAGAGCACAGAGTATGTTCGGGCCAAATCCCTGCCCTTGGGGACGTCAGCGTCCAGTGGGGAAGAGAGAGTGTGAGCGTGAGTAACTGCTGGTATTAAGTGTGGGCCCAGCACTGTGCTGGGGCTTTCCGTGCATTTTCTCTAATCCTTACGACAGTTGTCAGCCCCCTTTTCCTGATGAGGAAACTGTGGTTCTGAGAGGTTTTGCATGCCTAGGGGCCGAGCCAGGGGTCAGACTCTGGTTTCTCTGCTTCTAGAGCTTCTGCCCATTTCACCGTGCCATGCTTGAGGGGGCTCAGAGAAGGTGGGTGACTTGCCCAAGGCCACACAGCTGGGAGAGCCGGGACTGGGGCCCTGGTCTCCTCCAGGTCCAGGACTCTCATCACAGCCTGGCTGCCTCCTCGAGGGTCTCACGGTACGGCCCGGTATCGGACACAGCACCGTAACTGCTCTTTGAAAAAAATGAACGCACTCCCTGTGCCTCCCTGGTGTCATATTAAACCACGGGCAACTCTGGTACCCATTAAGCCATTGTCTCTCCTGAGCCCCTGCAGCGCTGCCCCCATAAGAGGTTTGGACTCCAGGAGGTAGCTGCGTGGCTGGTGATTCAGGCCCTCAGAGGTGACGGCATTGCGCCCAGCCCGATGTCTCTCTGGAGATGGAAGGCTGCTGTTTGTGGTGATGTTGGCCATCTGTTGGCTGCCAGGAATGACGAGCGCGCCCCAGCCTGCCTTGGGCCCTCTGGGGCCAGCTTAGCTTACTCAGGAGCACTTGCTGAAGGCATGTAGTTTAGGAAACTCGTGGGACAAGTGTGGCCTCCTTCCCTCGACCCTCGGCCGGAGCTTCAGAGCTCACCCCCTGTGCAGAGTACAGGCCAGTCCTGAGGTCAGGGAGGGACAGTCGGGAGGGATCCTGCCACACCTCCTCTCTCATCCTTTCCGCAACTCTCCGTGGGGCGGGCGTCATTATGTCCTCTCTACATGCGAGAAAGCCGCGGTTCAGTTGTCTGGAACACCCTCGTTAGACACCCTCTCGAGGTTCTGGAGTGGGAACCGAGGCTTCTGCGACTCCCAAGCCCCTGCTCCCTCTGCTGCCCCCGGCTGGCCCTCGGGCTCGGCCCAGGTGCTGCACGCCCCGTCCAGTGTCCAGTGCTCTTTCCTCAGCACTGTTGGGCCCCCCACCGTGATTTTAGTGAGTAATGGAAGTATCAACTCTTTAATAAGATAAAGGATTAAGTTTTAAAAGATGCTTTATTGGCTTTTAAAAATTTAAATGAAATGACAACTTATGATGAGTTATCAAAGTCTGAGATGGGCCAAACTATGATTTAAGAAATATTTAAAGTACCGGTTGATCAGCTCTTCTGTTTCTAAGAATTGGTGCTAAGGCATTGCTTGTAATTGTGGGAACTGGAAACAAGCCAGAAGCCCGTCGTGGGGCTGGGGCTGAGGGAATTCATATATGAAACACCCCTGCGTTGCTGCTCCCTGCTCACCGGCCTGGAGAGGCGCCACAGCGGATCACAGGAACAAAAGCAACTTCAAAACAGGCTGTGTTGTGAGCGTCCCTTTTTGTTCGTAATATTTCTCTATGGTGTGTATGTGCATTTTTGTGACCGGCTTATTTCACTTAGCATCATGTCCTCAAGCATCATCCATGTTGTAGCATGTGTCAGGATTTCCTTCCTTTTTAAGGCTGAGTAATATTCCATGTGTATATATGCTGTATTTTGTTTATCCACTGTCAGTAGACACTGGGGTTTTTTCTGCCTCTTGGGTATTGTGAATCATGCTGCTGTGAACATGGGTTATTTCCATTGTTAAAGAAATTTAACGAAGCATTTCACTGCAAAATCCATCAACCACACGTCATGGAGTAGTGAAGGATCCTGGGTTAGGAGTTGGGAGCCCTCCAGTGTGGCATGTTTTCCCACTTGTGGGGATCCCCCAGGTCCCTTTAGTCCTTTCCCTTCTGCTTTCTGGGACTTCAGTCTCCCCCTGTCACAGCAAGGTGACTGGACCAGGTGGTCTCCCTCCCAGCCTCCAGGTTTTCTAAATCTTGATCCATTCCCCTCCTCATCTTCTGTTTCCTCCTCCAGCGCCGTCTCTCTCCCTGGTCCCTTTCTCCCGGTCTCATTCTGCTGCAGGGATTGGGGGTGGGGGGGGAGCCTCCTGGGCTGGTGTCTTGGTGTTGGATGTTGAGGGCCAGATATGGGAAGGGGGAGGCAGCTGGATGTGATGAACTGGGCTTCACAGTTGAACTCCCCCACAGTTGGGGGAAAGATACCCAGCTGGTTCTGAGCCTAGGGCAAGTCTGCACAGTGCTCTCTGGTTATTTCACCAGGCAGTACCGAGGTAATCTCCAGATCTCAGCTGAACCAGAAAATGGTCTAGGAGCCACAGGAATGTTAATCTCTCTCAGCACAGCCCTGGGAAGCTGATTTCTTCATTCCGAACATTCCAGTTAGGTTTGTAAGCACCCTCCCCACTCCACCTTCCGGCCACACCCAAGGACTCCCACAACTCTGCACTTGCTCTTCCGTTCCTCTGGGCCTTTGCTCAGCTGTTGGCCCAGCCCCGTCTGGAAAGCCCTCCCAGCTCTCATCTCCACCTGCTGCTGGCCCATCTCTGGCCTCATTCTCCAGGATCAGTTTAAAGCACTCTGCCTTCTACAGACAGGATGTGCATAGCGGGATGTACTGGTCTTGCCCCACCTCCACCCGGGCAGAAGCCATTGCCCGCTGCCCTGCGCCCCTACAGACGCCCGTGCTTCCCTCTCTCAGTAGATCATTCCATACACCTCTGCCCCCACCGCCTTTGTGGTCCCTGAAGGTGGGAACTGCGACCACTCCCTCTCTGGGCCCCAGCACCTGGCACAGGGCCTGGCACTGAGTGGGTGCTTGTTAAAGGTTGGCTGGATGGACAGACGGATGGGTGGATGGATGGAAGAGAGAGAACCAGAGAAGAGTTCTAGTACCAAGGTTTCAGAAGATGCATGCTAATTTGGTCTTGTCATTAGCTTCTCAAATAAAGTCATGATTTGGGGCGGTTCTCCTCCAAATGGAATTGTTCTTAGCAAATAACCCCATCAGCCAGTCCAGTTGATTAAATACTTTGGTGTGCGTGCGGTTAGCTTGTCTCCAGGAACGCATCGTTTTCAGATGAACTGGCATGGAGCGTAGCGCTGTAGCCTCAGGGCCCGACCCGCCAGGTCTGAGGTTCACGTGGGCCTGGCTCCTGTGCTGCCTGGCCTCTGATGTTCTGATGCTGGCCCTCAAGGAATTCCCATCCCTGCCTTGGGGTGGGACAGGTCCCTGAGCTGGGGAGGTTGGGAGCTCCAAGGCACAGGGAGCCAAACCATGAGTTTCCGTGTGAATCAAGCACCCCTGCCAAGGAGGAAATCGAGGTCTGTGGTTTCTGAGCCCTGGCACCTCCTAGCACCAGCCCTGCAGGCGTCGCGTGGTGGGCTGAGGGCTAGGCGCAGTGGACTGAGGGATGCCCTCTGTGTGTGGCTTGGCATGAGGATTGCCAATGTCTGTCCTCTCTCATGCCATCTCAGCTCAATTGGTGGTGACTTTTCAGATGCTGTGTTCAGAAGGATTCTGAGGCCTCAACTAGGCTAAGCAGGAAGGAATATTGAGGTTGATTAGTAAAGTCTGCCACAGGAATGAGAGAGAACAGCAAGGCCCATGTGCTCGTCGCTGCCACCCCTGCTTTCCTTACTGACCGGGCACAGGCTTTGGAGTCTGGATGATTTGGGATTAAATTCCACTCTGCTCTGCTGGCCTCAGGTTGCTCATCTCTGAAACGGACATATATTAGTCAGGGCATGGGGTCAGCTGCTGTATCAGGGAAGCCTCACAGTACTGTAGCCTAACTCCATGTGGAAGTTTCTTTCTCTCTCACATTCTCGTAGGCGACTCCGGAGGTAGGTGAGCAGTTCTGAGCTGGGGGGCAGCTCTGCCATCCTCAACCTGCAACTTCTGCTTGTGAGCCCAAGGTGGCTGCTCTTGCTCCAGCCATTTCCCACCCAGTAGGAAGGGGATCTGGACCTGGTGAGCACATGTGTGGTGGCTTTGAAGATATGACCCAGAATCTGCCCACATCATTCTTCATGTCTATTCAGGCAGAAGAGTCACTGGCTGTACCTGGCTGTAAGCTTGGCTAGGAAATGTAGTCTTTAGCCGGGGAGCCATGTGTCTGGCTACAACTTTCTTGAACAGAAAAAGAGGAAGTGGGTGCTGGGATGAGATGCCCCAGGGGATGGTGCTGGCCGCCTCTCAGAGCTGTTAGAACTGGTGATGGCGTCTGCCTCGCCTCTGGCACCTCACAGCCTTCCCCGAGCTCACCAGGCGCTTCCCTTTCCCCGCCCAGGAGCTGGTGAGGATCCTGCACAAGGCGCTGGAGGCTGCCCAGCAGGAGAAGAGGGCGTCCAGCGCGTACCTGGCGGCGGCCGAGGACAAGGACCGGCTGGAGCTGGTGCGACACAAAGTGCGGCAGATCGCGGAGCTGGGCAGGCGCGTGGAGGCGCTGGAGCAGGAGCGGGAGGGCCTGGTGCAGACGGCGAGCCTGCGCGAGCAACAGGTGCAGGAGCTGCAGCGGCACGTGCAGCTGCTCATGGACAAGAACCAGGCCAAACAGCAGGTCATCTGCCAGCTCTTGGAGAAGGTCACCCAGGACTTCATGCAGCCCCACAACCGGCCGCCCGCTCCCCCAGATGCTGCCGACCGGGACTTCCTGAGCCAGCAGGAGAAGATGGAGCACCTGAAGGTAGGGCCCTCCCTCCTAGGGCCCGGGGCTCTTGGGGAGGATGCTGCTGTCAACACAGGGTTTTCTAGATAGAGTGGGATGACCCTTAATACTGGAATAGTCATGACTTGAAATATGTGTTGATGGAAGTATGGCTACACTCTTCCTCTTTCTCAACCAGAAGACCCAGCGCAGTTTGACCTTTTCTTGATATCCTAGGATAAACAGTGACGGTATCTCTAGGTTGACAAATCAGAGATGAAAGGGCCCGAGATGGAGTCAGAACTCCGGAGTGTTAGACCAGCTGAGTCTGGGCCTGGCCTCGTCTGCCTCCTTTAGTACCGTGCTGATACCCTTGGGAGCCCCCAGGGTGCCCGGGCGGCCCTCCCCCAGCAGTCCCGCACACAGTGCAGGTGACCTGCGGCTGGCTGTGGCTTGCTTGTGGTCATGGTCCTGAGTGCTGCTCCTATTTCTAGAATATTTACTGTTTGGTAGGCACCGTCTTCAGTGCTTACCTCGCGTCGTTTCCTTGAGTCCTTGCACCAGCCTTATCAGGCAGTCGCATGCATGCTCCCACTTTGCAGATGAGAGTGCTGAGCCTGAGCACGGTGAAGCCACCTGCCCAGGGTCTGGTGCTGAGGAAGTGGGGGAATGGGAATTGGAGTGCTGCTCGCATCTCTGACCAGTCTGCTCTGCTGCCTTCCAGCTTCGTCGCCTCTTCTAGCTACTGCTGCCTTCGCAGCCCCCCCTAGCCAGGCTCGTGGCTGCCACCTGGGAAAGGCTGCCCCATCCCTCAGGGACCCATTGCAGCACGGGGCAGGAACTTTATTTTCTGTGTGATGCTGGCCATGGGCTGTAGCCTTCTCTCTAGAGGATGGTGACCGGAGCCACTGGACCACCTGGAGGCCTGGGGATAGTGCTCCTGGCCCCCACTGTCCCTAAAGGCAGCCAGATAACCAGCCGTATGACCTGGCCCAAACCCTGGCGGCCACAGATGCTCACATACACATAGCTGTGGAGCTTGGACTCGTCTGTGACTGAGCGCGCCTGTGTCTGCACGTCCAGGAATTTAATTTTTCGGCGAGCCCAGATACGAGCAACTCTGGCTGTGATGCACATCGGCCGGACTTCCATCTGCAGCTGGTCCTCAGAGGGCCCGTGGTTTGTGCTAGCGAGAGTGGTGTGTACTCAAGTTCCTTATTTGTTAGCCCTTAGGTGTCTGATCTAGAAAAAATAGAAACTCCATCAAAAGTCCACTGTCCTTAAGTTTGGGGACAGAGCATGTTCACACTTCCTGCTCCCCTGTGACTGAGGAAATGCCCATTGGTGAAGCTGTCAGTGTGAGAACAGCATCAGTGGCCTCCTGACTGTCAGAGCTGGGAGACTCCGAGGCCCAGGTGCCCCCTCATTTTCTGGCAGGGACAGCTGAACGCTGGGGAGGGGAAAGGACTGGTCCAGGGTTGCAGCACTAGTGGCTGGGTTGCAGCGAGTCCTCTGGGTTCCCCACATCTAATCAGCTGCTCCCCCCGGCACAAGGGCCAATCCACGCAGCATTTCCCAAAGAGAATCCGGGCTCCTGATCCCCCAAGGCAGGCAGCGTCCTCTTCCTCCTGTCCCCTTCTCCAGTTGTGTTTTCCTCCTTTGCGTCACTGGTGACTGTCACATGGCTTTTCTCTTCTCTGAGGTCTCTTTTTCCTCCCTACAGTTCTGAGCCAGGAAGATCACTCCAGGTAGGGCGATGAGCTGAATGGGAAGGTGCTGCCCAGATGCCACCCCACCCCACGCCCCTGCTGCTCCGAGAGGTGCTCACCCCTGCCTCGCTGTCTGGGCTGGATGCAGGGTACCTTATGCGACCTGTCCAAAGCCTGGGAAATGCCGTGAGCATCTTCTGGGCCCGGGACAAGGAAGGAGATCATCTTGACCAGTTGAAAACCCAGCCAGGGAGGGTCAGGATCGCCTGTGGGCTGTGTGCAGGTGACCCAGCCCTGATGGTGAGGTGCCACAGGCCAGGTGTGATGTTAATTTCCAGATGGATCAGGGCCCATCCAGAGTCATCCGTGCAATAGTGTCTCTCACCCTCACCTACAGTCCAGGTCATTCCTTGAGTAGGAGAGAAGGGGTTGAGTTTCAGCTAGTAAATGCCCTGGAGTTGCTAGGTATGGCTGTGAGCACATGCTGTGTTCAAATGGCTTCTGCAGCATCCATCCAGCAGAATAAAGACTGAGCCACTGCTGCAGCTGCTGCTTTCTGAGGCCCAAGCTCCTGCTGGCACCTGCCCGGGACTCAGCCAGCTTCTCCTTGCATGCTCCATCAGCAGCGTCTCACTCCATCCGCTGGACAGCTTCAAAGGGGAAACTCTGGGCCCAGAGATGTACATCACAGTTTTATTCACAGTCAAAAACAAACTGAAACACCCCAGGCTCAAATGGAAAAATAACAGGAGAACAATTATAACAAAGTTATGGTAAATTCACCCAATAGAATAGTCATCAGACATTAAAAATGATCATTGGGAAGCTTATGTAGCAAAATGGGAAAATATTTACAAAGCCACTCTAAGTCAAAAAATTTTCCACTGAAAATTATTCGCTATGATTACAAATGTACGACAAATATGTTTAATTTAAAAACAAACACTATTTGATTGTTTGTTATGCTTTGGTCCCTGAACTTAGTGTAATGACACTTGTTTCTTCACTTAGCCTCCCAGCTGTCCAGTGGGGTAGTTGATATTTGCCCCTTTTACTGATGAGGAAACAGGGTCAGAGTGGTTCCATGAGGCCCCCCAGCCAGAACAGCAGAGCTAGGACTCGAGCTCCAGGCCTGATGTTCTCTCCCCCATATCATGCTATGATCAAGATTAGAGAAGGGGGCTAGCCATAATTTTTTTCCTTTCAGACTTCCTTTTCCGTTGCCATTATTGGACATTTCTAAAGAAAGGCAGTGTTGGCAGCTCATTTGAGGGTGAGGACCAGGGAGATGTTTATGGTGCAGCTCATTCAGTGCTTTGCTCCCTCTCCAGGATGACATGGAAGCATACCGGACCCAGAACCGCTTTCTCAACTCCGAGATCCACCAGGTCACAAAGCTCTGGAGAAGGGTGGCTGAGAGGCAGAAGGCCCTCCTGATGAAGGTGAGCGGTGGGGGCCCTGCTCTGACATCCCCGTTCCTGGCCACCCTCCAACCCCTCACCGTCCCATCCCTGTGTCTCTCCTCATTACCTGTCAGCTCTCCCTCTGGACCATGCCCTTCATGAGCTGTCTTCAGATATCAGGCATCTGGGCGCCAGTTGCTGATCGCCACTTCTGACTGCCTGGAGCAGGCAGGCCCCACTGTTGCTGCACCTCCCCCTCCTGGCTAAAGTAACTGCCAGGGCATTTACAGGGCTGGCACCTTTTTTTTTCTCCTTCATTTTTCTCTTTTTCCATTTTGGGAGCCAGATATTAAAGACTAGACATTCTAAAACCACTTCATATATGGGGGAAATGAGGAAGGGACCACAGATACCCAGGGAAAGGCTCAGAAAAGACCTTAAATTTACACCTCAGGCTGATCCTTGGCACAGAGACAACCTACAACAGTCAAGAACACAACAACAATTAAAACAGACAAACAAACAGCAAACCCCAAGGAGAAAATGATTTCCAGAGTTACTACATTATTAGGTTCAAATGTCTAGTTTTCAGCAAAAAAACTCACAAGGCATTCAAAGAAACAAGAAGGGATGACTCATTCAAAGGAAAAAAATTGGTGAACAGAAAGTGTCCCTGAAAAAGACCTGATGGCAGATCTGCTAGACAAAGTTTTTAAAACATTTATCTTAAAGATGCTCAGAGAATTAAAGCAAGATGTGGAGAGTCAAGAAAGCAATGTATAAACAAAATGGAAATAGCAATAAAGAGATAGTAAACCTACAAAGAAACCAAAAAGAAATTCTAGAGCTGAAAAGAACTGACATGAAGAATTCACTAGAGGGATTGAAAGGCGGGGCTGAGCAGGCAGAAAGAATCAGTGAACTTGAAGATAGGACAATGGAAATTATCAAGTCTGAGAAACAGAAAGAAAAAAGATTGAAGAAAAGGGAACAGAACCTAAGTGATCTGTGAGACACCATTAAGTGGACCAACGTACCCATTATATTATGGGAGTCCTAGAAGGAAAAGAGAAAGAGAAAGGGGCAGAGAGAATATTTGAAGAAATAAGGACTGAAAACTTCCCAAGTTTGATGGAAAACATGAATATAAACATCCAGGAAGCTCAACAAACTTTAAGTAAGATAAACTCAGAGACCCACACTGAGACACGTTATAATCAAACTTTCAAATCCCAGAGACAGAGAGATCTTGACAGCAGAAAGAGAGAAGCAACTCATCATGGACAAGGATCCTCAGTGCGCAGATTTCTCATGAGACTTTGAAGGCCTGAAGGCAGTGGGCCATAGTCAAAGTACTAAAAAAACAAAAAACAAAAAAACAAACCTGTCTTGGGGGCCAGCCCAGTGGCATAATGGTTAAGTTCTCGCGCTCTGCTTCAGCAGCCCGGGGTTCACAGGTTCAGATCCTGGGCGTGGACATATACACCGCTTGTCAAGCCATGCTGTGGCAGCATCCCACATACAAAGTAGAGGAAGATTGGCACAGATGTGAGCTCAGGGCAAATCTTCCTCACCAAAAACAAACCCTGTCAACCAAGAATCCATTTCTGGCAGAACGTCCCTTCCAGAGAGAGGGAGAAATTAAGACATTTTCAGATAAACAAAGCCGAGAGGGTCCATTACCACTAGCGCAGCTGTGCAGGACATGCTCAGGGGAGTCCTGCAGGGTGAATGAAAGGACACTAGACAGTAACTCAAGCCACGTGAAGAAATAAAGACCTCAAGAAAGGTAAACACATGGGCAATTGTAAAAGCTAGTATTATTGTACCTGTGGTTTGCAGCTCCACATTTTTTTTCTACATAATTTCAGAGACTAGTGCACTTAAAAGAATTATTACTTTGGGCCGGCCTGGTGGCACAGTGGTTAAGTTCGCACGTTCTGCTTCGGCAGCCTGGGGTTCGCCGGTTCAGATCCCAGGTGTGGACATGGCACCGCTTGACAAGCCATGCTGTGGTAGGCATCCCACATATAAAGTAGAGGAAGATGGGCATGCATGTTAGCTCAGGGCCAGTCTTCCTCAGCAAAAAGAGGAGGATTGGCAGCAGATGGTAGCTCAGGGCTAATCTTCCTCAAAAAAAAAAAAAGAATTATTACTTTAATTTTGGAGCACACAGTGTATAAAGATGTAATTTTGTGACATCACCAACCAAAAGGGTAGGGATGGAACCATGTTATTGAAGTTAAGATGATATAAATTCTAATTAGAATGTTATAACTTTAGGATTTTAAATGTAATCCCCATGGTAACCACAAAGAAAATAGCTATATATGACTATACACAAGGAAATTAGAAAGGAATTTAAACATTTCACTACAAGAAAACTAAACACAAAAAAAGACAGTAAGGCAGGAAATGAGGCACAAAAAAGCTATAAGGCATATAGAAAACAAATAGCAAAATGACAGAAATAAGTCTCCTCTTACCAGTAGACTTTAAATGTAAATGGATTAAACTCTTCAATCAAAAGACAGAAATTGGCCGAATGGATAAAACACACAGGATCCAACCATATGCTGTCTACAGGAGTAATGCACCTTATATCCAAAGACAGAAATAGATTGAATGTGAAAGGATGGAAAAGGATACTCCTTGCAAATAGTAACCAAACGCGAGCAGGAGTGGCTGTACTAATATTAGACAAGAGAGACATTAAATTAAAAAAAAAGAGACAAAGAAAGACATTCTATATTAATTAAAGGTTCCATACAGCAGAAGATACAATTATAAATGTTTATACACCTGTTAACAAACTTGCAAAATAAAATATACGAAGCAAAAACTGACAGAATTGAGGAGAGAAATAGGCGGATCCACAATAATTGGAGACTTTAATGTCCCACTCTCAGTAATGGGAGAACAACCAGACAGAAGATAAGGAAGGAAGCAGGAGACCTAACTCGGTAAAGCCGCTGGATCTGATGGCCCTGGACAGAACGCTCCGCCCAGCAGCACAGCGCAGCATTCTTCCCAAGGGCACGTGGGCCTCTTTCCAGGATAGACCCCATCAGGCTGCAAATCAAATCTCAATAGATTTGGAAAGACAGATATACAAGGTATCTTCCCCAACCACAGAAGGGTGAAGTTAGAGGTCAACAACAGGAGGAGAACTGGAAATTGACAAATTCGTGGGAATTACACAACACACTCTTAAACAGTGAGTCAAGGAAGAAATCACAAGGGAAATTAGAAAATACTTAGAGAAATAGAAAAAAACACAACATACCAAGACTTACGGGAGAGTGAAAGCAGTGGTAAAAGTTATAGCTATAAATGCTTAAAAAACAAGAGTGATGTCCAATCCACAACCTGACTTTACAACTTTGTGTTTGTTTGCTACCTGGTAGCTTTACAACTTAAGGAACCAGAACAAGGAGTAAACCCAAAGCCAGCTGAAGGAGGGAAATGCCAGCGATGAGAGCAGAGGTGAATGACATCGACAACAGGAACACAATGGAGAAAATCAGTGGAACCAAAAGTTGCCTCTGAAAAGATCAACAAGCCTGACAGACCTTTAGCCAGGTGGACTAGAGGAAAAAGAGAGAGAAGACTCAAAATCTGAAATGAACGTGGGGACATTAGTACTGAGTGTATGGAAATGAAAAGGATTGTAAGAGAGCACTGGGAACAATTTACACCAACTAATTGGATAACCTGGATAAAATGGACAAATTTCTAGAAACTGAAAAACCTGCCAAGACTAAATCAGGAAGAAGTAGAAAACCTGAACAGACCTGTAACTAGTAAGGAGATTGAATCAGTAACCGGAAATCTCTCAAGAAAAGCCCTGGCCCCGGGGGCCTCCCTGGTGAATTCCACCACACAGTTAAAGAAGAGCTAACGCAGTCCTTCCCCCACTTCTCAAGGAGGGCGCAGGCTCGGTCGGGAGTTGAACACAATCAAGATGCAGTTAGGCACAGGCTGCTTTGGGGCCCAAAGGGAAGAATAAAATCAGGGGAGACTTCCTGGAGGAGGTGCCTTCTGCACGGAATCCTAAAGGCAAGTTAGTGTGGAGAAAGGCCTTCCAGGAAGAGACGGCGTAGTCCAGACCTGTGGGTTGAGGCGTGGAGGGTGAGCCGTGAGCCTGGAGGGTGAGGAGTTGGAGCGTGCTCTGAGGACATGGGGTTGTTGGCAGGGTTTTGAGTGGGAGGTCCTCAGTCGGCCTGATGTTTTGAGAAAACCACAGTGGCTCTCCAGTGGAGGTGGGCCGGAAACAGGGAGACCGGGCCTTCTGTAGCTGAAATCTGGAGATGGGCATTGGTGAGGGCACTCAGGAAAGGCCCTGGCGGTAGCGGGAAGGGAGCTGGGAGCCAGCTGGAACCGGGGACAGGCTCGCCCGTGGCTGGGAGTCGGTGCTGAGTTTGTGGATGGTGACCTGGCAGGGGTGCATCAGAGGGACCCCCCAGGATGAGACAGGAGCCAGGTTGGCCCAGAGGTCACAGCAGAGTGACAAGGCAGGCTCTTACGTCCCACCTTACAAGTGGGAAGTCGGGCCCGGAGGTTCCCTGGTTGCCCAGCCTCACCCGGCTGGAGTAAACAGAAGCCTGGAAGTTCAGGGCAGGGGAGGGGCGGGCAGACCCAGAGTGGTGTGAGTCCCTGAGGCCAGAGAGGTCGTGAGCTGGAGGAACGGAAAGCGCCCATGCGGTGGCAGCAGAGGGCACAAGCGCAGTGTCCAGGGCTGCGGGTCTGTAGGTGGCACTGCTCAGTGACACCACCTACAGAGAGCTCGCTCTGGGCCGAGTGCCCTGGGAAGGGCTTTACGCTCATCAGCTCATCTGACCCTCACCAGAATCCTGGGGCAGACTCTATACTATCCCCCTTGTTCAGATGAAGGAGCTTAGGCACAGAGAGGTCAAATGACTTGCCATAGGTCACCCAGCCTGCAGTGGCTGAACCAGGATGGAACTTCAGGCCATGCAAGACCCTGCGCTGCCCCTCCCACCTCTCTCCTCTTTCTTCTGAATCCCACTGCAGCCCTGGGCCTGGGCCTCCCTCTCCTAGAGCCCTTTCTGCCTTGCTGTAAACCCTTGGGTTCAGGACCCATCTCCTTTCTCTTATATGAAGGGCCGGGGGTTGGGAGGGGATGGGAGATGAGAGCTGGAAGCAGGGCTGTGCTGTGTAAAGCTGTCCAGGCCTCAGGCCTCTGGGGCGGCCCTGACCAGCCCCTCCGCCCCCCCCCCCCCCCCCCCACAGTGTGCCTACCTCCAAGCCAAGAACTGCCAGGTGGAGAGCAAGTACCTGGCGGGGCTGCGGAGGCTGCAGGAGGCCGTGGGGGACGAGGCCAGTGAGTGCTCGGAGCTGCTGAGGCAGCTCACCCAGGAGGCGCTGCAGTGGGAGGCCGGCGAGGCCTCGGCCGACAGCGGCGTGCTCAGCCCCATCAGGTAAGCCAGCGGCCAGCCAGCGGGCTGGGTGTCATGACCCAGGGGGCCCTGGCTGCCCTGCTGCCAGTCCCTGCTGACCGTGTGTGAGCACTGCACAGCCCTCAACTCCTCATGTCTTCAGAGAAGGGAGCATGGGTTGGGATGAGCCCCGTGTTACAGCTGAGGTGGTGCAGGCTCAGAGGAGGTGCCCCTTGCCCGCGGCCACACAACACGTCTGTGCACCTGCCGTGGGTCTGCCTCCAGCTCTGTTTTCTCCGCTTCCCTAGCTGCCTCCTGGAGCTGTCTGTCAGAGAGCAGAAGAGGGGAGACCTGCCCTGCCAAGCACAGAGGACATGGGCAGTTAAATATAATGGAAAGGGCTGCAGCTGGGGTCAAAGGCCCCTGGAGGCTGGGTAGCCCAGTGGCAGCAGCCCATGCCTTGGCGCTACACCTGGCTTTCTCACTGTGCGACCTTGGGCTCATCACTTTACCTTCCTGAGCCTCATACTCAGCCTCCATAGGATGTGGGCTGAGACCCCTGCTTGGCAGCATCCGTGGGATTAGATGAGATGGCACTCGCAGAGCACACAGTTGTGGCAAATAAATGTTAATAAAGGGAAGGCCATCTGGAATGGGTCCCCAGCTCTCCCGCCAGTGGTGCCTGTTCCCCTCCGTCTGTGAGCTTACGGCTCTGGAGGGGCTTCTGTGTTGGTAGGGTGGGACTCCTCAGGCCAGGGCTGCGGGGAGTAGTAAGAGGGTCCTTATCCTGGCACAGAATGGAGGAGGTGATGTCCCTTCTGCACTCCTGTGTCCCAGGCCCTGCCGAGCCCCTAGCAGCTCACGTCAGAGGGTCTCCTGGGTCTTCCTGAGGCAGAGTGGGAGTTCCTATACCTGTTGTACAGATGAGCAAGCTGAGGTTTGGGGAACTGAAGTGACCTGCCAGAGCCGTGTGTAGCCCACAGTGAAGACAAGGCAGGCACCTTGCCCGGGGTCCACCCTCTCCTGGGGACGGGCCTTACAGGGTGTCGCTAACGTGGGCTTTTGCCAGCAGCGAGTATGACGAGTACGGCTTCCTGACCGTGCCCAACTACGAGGTGGAAGACCTGAAGCTGCTGGCCAAGATCCAGGCGCTGGAAGTCTGCTCCCACCACCTGCTGGCCCACGAGGCTGTGGAGCGGCCGCGGCGGGAGCGCTGGGCTGCGCTAGGCGAGCTGGCGCCCTCGGCCGAGCTCAAGCAGCTGCTGCGGGCCGGCGTGCCCCGCGAGCACCGGCCTCGGGTCTGGAGGTGGCTGGTTCGCCGCCGCGTCCAGCACCTGCAGGCCCCCGGCCGCTACCAGGAGCTGCTGAGCCGGGGCCAGGCTTGCAGTCAGCCTGCCACCCGCCAGATCGAGCTGGACCTGAACCGCACCTTCCCCAACAACAAGCATTTCACCTGCCCCTCCTCCAGCTTCCCGGAGAAGCTCCGTCGGGTGCTGCTGGCCTTCTCCTGGCAGAACCCCTCCATCGGCTACTGCCAGGGCCTGAACAGGTGAGCAGGCCCACAGCCATTACCTTCCAAAGCATCCCTCGGGAGCCTCCCCCGAACCCTGAGAGGTGAGCCCGGGAGGCTAGGTCCCTACCGCACAGGTGGGCACTAGCAGGTGAGAGGACATGTTTGAGACAGAGATGGGCTGGAGCTCGGGGCCCCTCGTCCCCTGCCCTCGCCTTTGATTTGTGATCCGGGAGGCATGCCTCACATGGAAAGAGCGGGGACGGCCCCAGGAGTTGTGCGTGCCCCACCTGCTCACAGACTGCAGGGCTGTCAGGTCAGGGATCGGCGGCCTCAACGAAACCCACTCAGAGGAGCCCGAGGAGAAGAGTTTGGAAGTCTCGCGGGGGAAGCTCACACAAGCCCAGAAAGGGAGCAGAACTAGGCCCCGAGGGTCACGGAAGCCAAGGCAGCTGTTCTGTCCAGCAGGCCCAAAGCGCCACACAACCCGGGCCGTTACCCGCGTTTCCTTGGGACGCCATCCCTGAGGTTGTGCGCGCCGGCACTGCCTGCAGCCCTCGGGCTCCCTTGCTCTCGACGTCTGCTTCCTTCTCTCTGCAGACCAGCTTCGCTGCCATCCTCCCCAGATGCTTAGGGCCCCAGGGGCTGTCAGCATGGAGACCCCAGCCACTGGGTCTGGATCCTTTCAGCGAGTCTTCCCACTGTCCACCCCTCCTGGGCCAGGCCTAAGTTCCCGAAGGAGGGCATCTCCTTGGCCCAGCCTGGATTAACTTCTGCTGGTCCAGCAGCAGGGGGCAAGGGTTCGGGGAGGGCGTGGGGTGACCTGGGGGGTGGCCTCCAGGACTCGGGGGGCACTCAGGAATGCCCCTGGATACCTCAATAGAGGTTGCATGAGCTCAGCTATTTCCCAAAGCAAGATTTGACTCAGTTTAATTTAAACACACACACACTCAAGCGAAATTTACAGAAGCCATTCTGCCCTTTTTTCAGAAGAGGCGGTGTGTGACATTTATTTAACTCAGAATAAACATTCAGGGTGTCCCTACTCAAATCCGAATGGTTCCCAAGGGTAGATATTTTCCATACTTTATTTCCAGCCTAAATTGGATGAAATTGAGCATATTCATGTACAATTCCTGTGAATTCCGAGTGACACCCCAACGATAATGCCATTTAGTCCAGGCCTCCTGAGAAGACATGCTTGGATTTCATGCTGCCCTGAACATCTGCTGTGGGGATGTCTGTAGACATTCATTCATTCATTCATTCATTCATTGCTTCATTCATTCATTTGGCACCTGAGCAAAAGCCTGTGCACTTCTCGTTTGTTTGAACATGTTAAAATCCAGAAGGACAAAACTTGCAAAGCCTCTTTAAGAAGAGCTTTGAAAGGAACTGGAAGCTGGGCGTTAGTGTGAGAATAATGATTTTTACATTTCATGCAAAGGCCAGGCAGGAACTGAGACTTACTGAGGGCCTCCTGGCTGCCAGGTGCTGTACCTACCCATGTCGTCTAATCCACATGAAGCCCTGTGGGGTGGGCATTGCTGCCCCAGTGCCCCGGGAGACAGGAGAGGGTCCGAGGAGCTCAGGAACCTGCCCGGCGCCCCAGCACGCGTGAGGAACGTGACCCTGGTCTCCCGCCCCCAACCTGCTCCTCCCCCGACCTGCCCTCACTCGGGGTGGGAACGTGGCAGACAGTGCGCTGGGGGTACCTGAAAACCTTTTTCCCTGATCAGATAGAACCTTTTTTGAGAGCAGGAATGCGGTTAGCCACATACGGCTTCAGAGTCTAATCTGTGCTGAAGGGGCAGAGGGAAAATCCTACAGCAGGAGGGGGTCTTGAGATGGGCCTCTTAGAAGGAAAGAAGCTTCTCCCTGTCTGGAAAAGGCAGCAAAGGCTGCCGCAAGGTGTGTAGGAGCAGCTGAGGCTGAGGGGGAGACACCAGGCGGGATTTCCTTACTGCTTCCTCCGAATGCTCTTTTATCGATAATTTATACTCAGGTAGATCGTCAGACTATTGCTTAAAACAGAAGCTGTTTGTGACAGAAGCCTGTTCACACGTGCAGAGTGCAGGCTGTTCTTCCCGAGGCCCTGCAACCCTGGCCTGCAGCCCGGGTCCCTTGTCTGGGTGCTGTCGTCTCGTGGCGGCCGCCAGAACTGCGCGTGGTGCCTCGAGGATCGAGCCTGCTTCTGAGCAACGCATGCAGCCTGTTCAGAGGGCGACTGGTGTCGCGGTAATGACTGAGTGCAAAGTGAGGCGAACATTTAAAGCCATTGCCCTTTATTTATTTATTTATTTTTTGAGGAAGATTAGCTCTGAGTTAACTGCTGCCAATCCTTTTTTCGCTGAGGAAGACTGGCCCTGAGCTAACATCCGTGCCCATCTTCCTCTACTTTTATATGTAGGACGCCTACCACAGCATGGCGTGCCAAGTGGTGCCACGTCCGCACCCGGGATCTGAACCGGCGAACCCCGGGCTCCCAAAGTAGAACGTGCGCACTTAACCGATGCGCCACTGGGCCGGCCCCAGCCAGTGCTCTTTAAAATACAAGTGGAGTGCTTTACAAGTAGTTTGTTCTGGGACTGGCCCCGTGGCCTCGTGGTTAAGTTAGGTACACTCCACTTCAGCGGCCCAGGTTGGGATCCTGGGCGCAGACCCAGATCCCTCATCAGCCACACTGTGGCAGCGACCCACATACAAAATAAAGGAATATTGGCACAGGTGCTAGCTCAGGGCCACTCTTCCTCAGCAAAGAAAAAGTAGTTTTTTCTTTCCCCCATGCCCACACTCCCTCCTCTGCAGACCCACTTGGGCCCTGAATGCCCTAAGTTGGTGTCTGGCTGCAGCCCTGAGCAGTTGGTAGGCCCTAGAGGGTACCAGCAGCCTCTCATCACTGATTTGTTTTTTCTTTTTTGCCCATTTTAAGTGTACAACTCAATGGTCAGTAGTAAATTCACACGTTGCATAGTCATCACCACATTCCAATTGCAGAGCATTTCCATCACCCCTAAAAGAAACCTTGTGCCCGTCTGCAGTCACTCTCCCTTCTGACACCAGCCCTGGGCAGCCACTGCTCTGCTCTATGTCCCTGTGAATGTACTTCGGGTGGACATTTCATACAAATGCAGTCATATGACACGTGGTCTTTTGCATCGAGCTTCTTTCACTTGGCGTTATGTTTGAGGTTCCTGTATTTTGTTTCTTTGCTTACTGAGCAGCGTCCGTTGAATGAATGCACCGTATGTTGATTCATCAGTTGACGGGCCTTTGGGTTGTGTCCACCTGTTGTGAATAACACGGTGAGCGTCCTGGGCGAGGCTTTGTGTGCATGTGTGTTTCTCCTCTCGGGTGCACTCTTTTTAATGGCGGCTCAGCTTTCATTGTCTAGATGCATCATAAAGTGTTTAAGTTTTTTTGATTGTTGTGAGAATGCTGCCACAGATATTGTTATGTTGGTACCATTATTTCTGTAGCATCGAACACTCAAAAGAGTGAACAAGCCCTGAGGAATACACATCTAAAATTTTCACTGGCCCTAACACATTTCCAGACACCGACAGGTAAGGCCCATGGAGAGGAAGGGAGACCTGCCAGGGAGTCGGGGAGGAGTGGCCGGCACACGTCGAGGGCAGGAAACAGAGGCTGGCCGAGGGCAAGACAGCTTCCCAGATCTGTCCCTCAGGAGCTAAGCCCCAAATCAGAGGCACAGGCCAATGCAGCTTCCTGTTGCCGTAAATAAGAGCCTGTGGTCTGGGATCCTCAAGGAGACTAGTCTTTGGGTGGCTGAGAACAGTATGATTTGGAAACAAGGCTCATGGAAGTCCAAACAAGCCTCTTTGGGCTTCTCCACGAGGAGGAGGGGTCCTGAGTGCCCCCACCAAGCATATTAAGAGCATTTCTGGATTCAGAGCTCATGTCATAGCCTTGTCCCCGGGGGCATTATTGGGACTCAGAACAGTGGTGCCCACTCCCAAAGGTCCCAGGTCTTGCTCGGGGCCTTCCATGGGTGGAATCTTCTCAGCAGGGTTAAACCTCGCTTTTGACACAGAAGCTCTATCCTTCTGGTTGATGATTGAGTCCAAAAATGAGAACAAAAATAAAAAACAGTACAAATCACTGAACATTAGCAATAGGCTCACCCACCAAATCACTGACCTTTTAATGTGTGCAGAAATCTCAGCCGATGCCGACAGCCAGCTCCTGGACGGAGCACCTGCTGGGCTCCAGTGGAATGGGGTTGTGGGAGAGAACACCAAGCTGGGTGCAGGGAGTCCTGGGGTATGTTTCCACTCTACCACCAACTGACTTGGGGAGTTGGAGCAGTCACTTTTGCTTCCCACGCCTGGGTTTTCCCGTCTCTGCAGTGACCTGGGATGAGGAGCAGGGGGCAGCTAGCTGCCTGGAGCCTTGGAAGGGTTTCTGAGGTGGCCTTCAGACCCTGTGGGAAAGAGTGCCATGATCAATTCGTTCTGTCTGCCCTGGGCATAGACAAAGAGAGTGGTGGCCAGTGTGTCACAGTTGCTATCCTGAACTAAGTGGCCTCTGAACGCCCCCCACCCCCATGTCCAGGAGACCTGTAACTATTCTCTCCCTCTACTCAGCTCAGACTCAGGAGCGTTCGCACAAGTCTTTTAGCCAGAATGGAGAGAAATTCCTTCCCAGTCTGCTGGAGAGAAAAGGGATTTATTTTTTCTTTTGAGAATTGACCCTGTTTGTAAAAAAAGCGTGAGTCTCAGAAGAGGTTGGAGGTCGTGAGCCCCATCTGGTAGAGCCCAGGGAAGCATAGGTCTCTGGATGATGCAGTGTGCTCTTGGAGTCTGTCCAGGGTGTCAGGCTGATCGCGGCATCCCGCTGAGGGTGGACAGTGCCCTGGCCGGCCCTGGGTCAGAGGGTCACATGGGGTTGTTCATACGCCTTTAAAGGGGCCAGAGGAGAGAGCGTTCCGCAGACATCTGTGAATCGGGAGCTGGTGTTCACCTAGCGTCTTAAGAGACCAGTGCGTTTTGGGGATGTATTCTTGGATTGTTGTTGGTCGAGCTCTGCCTGGGAGGATGGGAGAAGTCGAGGGAATGGTGCTTCTTCAAAAGCGCCCCCCGGCCCGCCCCGTGGCTCCCTGGCTGCCTGGCTGTGACTTCACTCCCGGCCTCCTTCCCTCCCACTCCAGGCTGGCGGCCATCGCTCTGCTGGTCCTGGATGAGGAGGAGAGTGCCTTCTGGTGCCTAGTGGCCATCGTGGAGTCCATCATGCCAGCTGATTACTACAGCAAGACACTGACGTCGTCCCAGGTGAGCCGCACAGGCAGGAGACTGGGGGGCCACGCGGGTCAGTGCCCCTGTGTTGTTCCTACAAGCCGGTGAGTCTCGGGAAAGTCAGGACTCTCCCAGCCTCCATTTCCCCCTCCGTACAATGGCCAGAAACCCGGCTCTGGGACACCTGTGACCCTCTAGTGAGCTGACGGACGGCCCTGAGAACTGTCGAGGCCCTGCCCACAGGGTAGACTTGTTATTCCCCTGCTGACGTGATGTCATTAGAAACAGCCGAGTTCCTGGGCAGGGGGGGAGAAGAAAATCTAGTCACTTCCTGTTTGCTGGTCCAGAGTTCCAGATGGAAGGTCAGGTAGGGCGGAAGGCGGGGCTGGGAGGATGGGAGGTGGCGATGGCTCTTCACACCCGCCCGTCTTTCTGCTGGGAAGCACGCTACCTCCGTACCTCCTGCCTGCCCTCTGACCACAGGCCAGCCCTGGGTCAGGCAGAGCTGGCTTCACAGCCGACCCGCTGGTAGCCAGCTGTGTTGGCCCTGGCAAGTGGCATCATCTCTCTGAACCCCAAACTTGCCCGCTTTGGAATGGGACTAACAGCTCCTTCCTGGGAACCGTTTCACTCCTCGACCCCCAGCGTCCGGCTTCTCTCTCCTCACCCCTTGTCCTGTTCCTGCTACTTCATGGAGAGAGGCCACCCAGAGGGAACTTCTTACTTCCCACCCCAGACCCACCAGGCCATTGCCTGCACCCTCATGCTGCCCTCCTCCTCTCCTACTGTGATCGCCCAGCGCTGATTCCGCCCCCTGGGACGCACACCTGGGTGGGGAGGTCAGGAGACAGTGGGTAGTCAGGTGTGGGGCTGAGGACAGAGGTCAGGGCTGCAGGTCATGACTAGGAGTCATCAGGAAATAGGGGGTGAATCAGGCAAGATGGTGTTTGGCTGCATGGAAGGGAGGCCCAACCTAACAGCGGCTTCAGTGGGGATTATTTTCCTCAGATACTGAGAAAGCAAAGGCTCCTTCCAGCTCCCTGCTCTGCCATCTCTGGCATGCGGCTTTCCTCCTCCTGCTCATCACCTCGTGGTCACAAGGTGGCTGCACCCTCTCTGGCACTGGGCCCTGGCCCAGGCTAGAAGAATCAGAGGGTGACAGGCAGGAGCTGGCTGCCGTTGAAACGGCCTTCCCCAGCCCCGCGGTCCCCCTCAGGCCTGTGGGTCAGCACTGTATCGCACGGCCCCCAGTCACAGGACAGGCTGGGAACGTTCCGTATCTTATCTTATTTTCATGTTTGAACAGCTCTAAAATTGAGGTGGGTTGTATAAGCAGTGTTGTGGTGGTTTTGTTTCTTTAGTATAAAAAATTTGGGGGCCGCCCCGTGGCCGAGTGGTTAAGTTCACGCGCTCCGCTTTGGTGGCCCGGGGTTTCTCCAGTTCGGATCCTGGGCGTGGACATGGCACCACTCATCAGGCCACGCTGAGACAGCGTCCCACATGCCACAACTAGAAGGACCTGCAACTAGAATATACAACTGTGTACTGGGGGGCTTTGGGGAGAAGAAGGAAAAATTTTTTAAAAATCTATTCCTTAAAAATTGAAAAAAATTTTCAAATGTACAAAAAAGATAGAGAAAATAGGATAATGGACCTTCACATATCTGTCACCCAGTTTCAATAATTACCGACACAGGGAGACCAGTACTGCTGCATCTGTGCTCCCGCCCCCTCATGCTTTGAAGATTTTGCAGTGAATCTCAGACATCATACCAGCCCATCCGTAAAGCCCTCAGAGGCACAGTGGCATCTTAGGCTGGTTGAGTGTCCTAGGGTTGGAGCTGGACACTTGGCCTCCACGGCCGCCTGCAGTTCTGGGAGAGGAAGGAAGTGGGAGGCTGTCGGCCACAGCCGCCGGCTAAAGCCCGGAGGGGACTTAGATAGACGCGGAGGCTGAGAAACCAGCAGAACCGGGAAAGGAAGACAGGAGACGAACACGTGCTGTCACAGCGGTGGGGGCAGACCACACGGAGCTGAGCTGTGGAGCCGGGGAAGGCGCCTGTGCTGGCAGTAATCAGCCGGTCGGTCGAGCGAAACAGGGACAGAGGCATGACAGTGATCACACCCAGAGGGCATTGGCAGCCATCGCCCAGCAGCATCCCCCTTTAGGGAGGTTCCTTCATGTCCAATGTGGCGGGACAATGCCGCTCCTCCCGACACTGGCCCCCAGGACCTCACCCCAGACAAAACACTGAGGGTCTGTGTGTTGTGCATCAGGTCCAAAGGGGGTGTAGACAAGTGAGCATGGTGTCAGCCGTACAAGCCTGAGCTCCTGCGTGATTTGAGGCCTGGGGGGCAGGGGACCAAAACTCCACTGGCCGAGGATGTAACAGCCCACGGAGACCTCCGCATCAAGCCTGCGCTCCAGCCCCAGAGCCGTGGAGTGACATGCGCTGTACCTTCTCCCAGCCAGGCTGCGCGCAAGCTCTGCGGGGCACTCTGTGCCCCACTCTAGGATCATGTGTGGACGGCCAGTGTGAAGGGGTGGGCTAGGAGGGAGGCAGCCCCTCCCCTGGGGCAGCAGCTGACGGCTCTCTCTCGGCTTCTAGGTAGACCAGCGGGTGCTCCAGGACCTCCTCTCGGAGAAACTACCCAGGCTGATGGCCCACCTGGGGCAGCACCGCGTGGACCTCTCCTTCATCACCTTCAACTGGTTCCTCGTGGTCTTCGCAGACAGTCTCATCAGCAGCATCCTCCTCCAGGTCTGGGACGCCTTCCTGTATGAGGGCACCAAGGTAGGGCGCTGTCGGGGAGCCGGAGGGTGCTGGCTGTGGAGAGGGGAGGGCAGGGCTCTCGAGCACGTCTCCTGGGAGCACGGCCTGGAGACCACAGTGCTTTGCCCTCCTGAGGGAGGCGGGGTCTCTGCCTCCAAAGATGCATGCTGAGGTTGGGGGGACTCCTCTCCCTGGGAGAAGGATGAGCATGACCCAGGGGCACGTCCCTGTTCCCTCCGTTGCCCCTCAGTCACCTGGCCCCTCGGTTTCTTCCTCCTGTTTGGACTGAGCCCTGCATCACAAGGCTGGCTCTCGGGTCTGCTCCCAGCTCTGCCCCTGGCCTAGCCCCAGGGTCCTGGGACTAGTCAGCATAGAGCCAGGACTCCATGTCAACCCTCAAACTGCAGGCTGTCCTCCCCTTGGGGTTTCCAGCCTGCGCCTCGGCCTCCCCCACACACGTTGCCTCCTAGCCTTCCACCTCTGCAGCCTGTCTGGGGACTCCCACTCTGCCGGGCCCATGGGTTCTCTCCCTCTGGGGCTCACCTGCCCTGGCCCCCAGGCCCTAGCTGAGCCCTCGCTGCCCCCCAGGTGGTGTTCCGCTATGCCCTGGCCATTTTCAAGTACAACGAGGAGGAGATCCTGAGGCTGCAGGATGGCCTGGAGATCTGCCAGTACCTGCGCTTCTTCACCAAGACCATTTGCGACAGCCGGTGAGAGCGCGCCCTGCCCCTCCCCCACCCCACCGCCCACACCCGCCCCCCAGGACACAGCGGGGGAGGCTCGGGTCACCAAGTGCAGGTTCGTTAGTGACACTGATGCTCCAGTACAGCTTAGAAGTCTTTAGGGACGTTCCACTGCCTCAGTGGTCTGTCTGCCCCTTAACACGGCGTTCGAGGTCTCCACGCAATTTCATTTCTTGCCCACCTTTTCGTGCCCCCAGCACCCATGCCCTTGATCCTGCCAAACAGAATTATTTGAGTTCCTAGGACAATACCCATCTCTGCGCTTTTGGCCTTGCAGTTTCTTCTACTTAGAATGCCTCCTTCCCACCTCCACCTCCACCATCTTTGCCTGGCCAGCTTCTACTCCTTCAACATTCAGCGCATGCTTTGTCTCCTCCAGGAAGCCTTCCCTGACAGCCTTTCTTTAGCGGTATAGAGCTCCCATACCTCTAAGCTTCCTCCTGCCTCAGTACATATCACTCTGGGTGGAAACCTTCTTCTTCTTCTTCACTGCTTCCTCCCTGGAAGGAGAGCTCCCTGAGGCAGGCCCAGGACCTCAGCCACAGGGGCAGAAGGAATGCAGGTGCCTGGGACTGCCTGGGGTATGGCCCACTGGGGCCCTGGGCTCCGCCCTGACCATGCTCTCCCCCAGGAAGCTGATGAGCATCGCCTTCAACGACATGAACCCGTTTCCTATGAAGCAGCTGCGGCAGCTGCGGACGGCACATGGGGAGCGGCTGGAGGCCGAGCTGCAGGAGCTGGAGCAACTCAAGGCCGCCTACTTGGAGACCCAGGCGTCCCGGCTCCCAGCGGTGCCCGAGGCCTGCGCCAGCGAGGACGAGCTGGACGGGGAGGCCTGACCCGGCCCACCCTCCACAGAGCCCCTTCTCGCCCCTGACTGGCAGGCCTCCAGGAGGACAGCTGTGGAGCCCTGGCACCAGGGGATGCCCGGCAAGCCCCTTCGCAGCTCTGGGCCTCAGTCTCTCCACTGGCACACTATCTGCTCAGGGCGAACCCAGGATGCCCCCCTCTCCCGCGTCCTCCCCGAAGCACACAGACGAGCAAAGTGCTCTCTTTACAGGCTAACCCTGACCCTTCTCCCAGTGTCATCTGTGTAAAACTGTGTGAATACTGGAAATAGTTTACAAGCTGTGGAACTTAAACGCTTCTCAGTAACCGGCCGTTCAGTGTCCCGCCACTGGGCCCTCCCAGCTGGACGTGCCAGACTGCTGTTCCGTGCACGTCCCGCCGGCCCGTCCCCTGCTGCCTCCCCAGGAGCTGGGGCCCTGCGCACTGAGGGCGCTGCCTTTCTGGGCCACGGTGCCTCCTTGATGCTGGCTGGGCACCGAGGCCTATGTCCTGGCCTTGCACCTGTGCTGTCCTTTCTGCTCACAGCCCACTGTGGCAGGGGGGACGGGGGGTCCGCAGGGGAAACCCCTGCCCACCAAGAGGACCCAAAACTTGGTTTCAGTGCTGGCCGCTTCCAGGCCCTTCCTCAGCAGACGAGGCTTCCCCCAGCCCCCTGGACCCAGGGAAGTGAAGGCCGCAGGTGTGGTTTTGGCAGCTGTTTCTCAGCAAGCGACTGCCCTGCTGCTACAGCCTTGAGCTCGGAAGTGTCCAGTGTGAGGGCGCGGGGTGGGGTTACCACATGGGCATCTCCAGCTCTGATCTGAGGCTCCTGTCCAGGGCTGGGGGAGGAGGCCACGCCCAGCATGGGACCAGGCACAGGCCCTCTGTCACCCACAGGTGCGAACTTGAGGGGTCAGCACCACAGACCCCCAGTCCCCCAATCGCGTACCCTCCACGGCCCCACGCAGGGTCCTCTCCCCTGCAGTCGCCTGGGCTGCCGGCCCTGGGGAGGGGCCCCTTGACCGCCTTGCTCGTTTGTGCAAAGTTGTCTTCATCGGCTGAGGGCTTCCACCACCAGACAGCACCTGTGAAGGTGGGGGAGCCTGGGGGGCCTGGCTGCAGCTCCCAGGGGAGTTAAAGGGGCTGATGCCGCGGCTGAGCCTGGGCAGAGAGTGGCATTTTTATGAAGAAAACATCACCGGGGGCCCTGAGGCCTAGGAAAGCCCAAGGCTCCAGGACCCACTGGCTCAGCTGGTCCCTCAGACTCCAGCCTTGAATGCAGATTTCCTCCTCAGCCAAAAATAAAATGGGCCGGCCCCGTGGCCGAGTGGTTAAGTTTGCATGCTCTGCTTCCGCGGCCCAGGGTTTCACTGGTTCAGATCCTGGGCGCGGACATGGCACCGCTCGCCAGGCCATGCTGAGGTGGCGTCCCACATGCCACAACTAGGAGGACTTACAACAAAAATATACAGCTATGTGCTGGGGGCATTTGAGGGGCAAAGCAGAAAAAAATAAAACAGTCCCAGATCTGATGGGGGCTGCCAGGTAAATGGCACCCTCCTCTGCACGCTCCCCTCCCTGCCCCTCCCACCTCTTCCTTCTGCTTCCTCCTTCCCTCATCTTCCCTCCCTGCTTTTCTGCCGCTCTCCTCCACCTTCCCCCCATTCCCCCTGCCCCCGCAGGCAGAGGGAAGAGAAGCCCTGCCCAGAGCTGGGAGACTATATGGCCTGCTGCCCACTCGGAGGGACGGGGCTCTGCCGGTGACCCCGCCCTGTGTAACCTGGTCCCCACCTGGCTGCCCCGCGGGAGCACCTGAAGAGATTTTTAAAAATACTGATGCTGGGCCTGCTTGAGCCTGAGATGGGCTGGGGCTGGAGCCAGCAGTGAAAGCTGCCTGTCCCCACCACCTGCTCACTCCGGGCCAGGCTCAGCCACCAGACCAGGAGAAGGCCCAGGAAGGGTAACAGGGTGGCCCAGTTACGCAATTGCTGAGAGGTGAAGCCACGCTCAAGCCCAGAGGCCCTGCCTGCAAAACCAGGGCGGCCCCTCCCTGAAGGCCCAGCGGAAAGGGCAGGCCGGGCTACGGCCTTGAGCGAGCAGTGCCGAGCAGTGCCTGGCCCTGGGGAGAGCTCCAGGCAAAGGGAAGTGGGAAGCTGCAGCAGGGACTGGTGGGGGCGGTCACACCTGAGGGGGTCTGTGGCTGCTGCTGCTCCAGGGAGTTTGCCCACCCTCCCCCTGCTCTTCCTGAAGGCGTTGGGGCCCACCCCGGTGTCAGGTTCCTAGCCCCGCAGCACAGCTGTCGCCCCCTTCCCCTGGGGCGGCTGCCTTCCAGGTTGGAGGATCTGATCCCTTGCAGCCCCACCTTCCTACCCCAGGGGATGGGCCGGCTAGCTCGAAGCACCCCTCTCCAAGCTGAGGTCCACACTGCATTCTGTAGGGGAGGGAAAAGACTTACTCAGGAACCCCCGGGGCAATCTCCCCAGGAATAAAGGGACTCCTCCAAGGAGGAGGAAGGGGCTCCCCCGCCCCAGAGTGGGGGCTGCACGCTTTTACAGAATGCTGTGTGCAGGGCTCCTCTCCCCCGCACTCAGAGCCTCACCCCCGGGGCTGCTGTCCCCTCATTATTTCTCAGCTCAGTGTCCCATGGGCACAGGGCCGTGTGGTACAGAAAGCTCCATGTTGGGCAGATCGATGGAGAATTTGCCATGCACACACACACACACACACACACACACACACACACACGGCGGATTAAACAAAGCTGGCTATGTTGACATGGGGAAGGAAGCTGCTGGTTTCCTGGCCCATCCCAATCAACAATAAGACCCAATAGAAGGTGCTGGCAGGTGGGCCCAACTTTGGGGCCAGACCTATTGTGTGGTTTTCTAGCTGGGGGCCCCTGGGCAGGTCATTCCCGCTCTGGCCTCAGTTTCCCCATGTGTGAATTCAGATGGTCAGGGGTAGCCCTCCTCAAATGGACGAGTGTTGGAGGAGGGAAGGGGCAGGAGAATAAGGACCCCCCCACACCCACACACACACAGCATCTCCAGGAGGGTCCCAGGCTGTGTCTATCACAGAGGCCTCCAGTGGCCTCCCCTCTGGCCCTTCGGTCCTTATGCCCACAGCCCCCAGAGAGGTCCCCGTCAAACCAGCCCTTCCCTAAGCACAGTCACAGCCACCTACCATCATGGCACAGAGGAGAAAATGCAGAGACAGGGCTGGGGGGGCACAGCCACAGGGCAACTGGGAGGCTTCCTGGGGAGGGGAGTGGGTGCTGGGCCTGGAAGGGAGGATGAGTCGGCTAAGATGGGGAGATGATGATGCGGGAGAGAGTTCCTGGTGGAGGGGACGGTGTAAGCAAAGGCCCAGAGGTGTGAGAGCACAAGGGGGTGGGGGATGCACCAGAGATGCTGGCTCAGCCCCCCGTGAATGAAGACAGACAGATGCCCTAGCCTTGGGAAGGTTCGGCTGCCTACCCCCAGGGGTAGTTAAAAATAAAGCCAGTATAGAACCGTGAGGGTGAGGAACTCCCACAGCGCTCTGATTTCTCCATATGCTTTTCTGAAACATCAAATACCAAGCTCTTTCATGCTGCTGCGGGAGCGGCATTCAGCCGGCCTCCTGAGCAGTCCCTCCAGGAAGCCTGGGTCCCGGCCCCAGGGCAGAGGTTTTGAGGGCCGGACCCAGGGACTGGGCTTTGGACCCAGGGAGCCAGGGGGCCTGTGAGCAGGGGAATGGCCCAATGAGCAGTGAACACTGAGTCGCAGTGTTGGCCCTGGCTGTTCATTCTATGGAGATCATCAAAAGTCCCCAAATTCATAGCCACTCTAAGTCTTAATTTCCTTATCTGTAAAGTGGGGGTAATAGTAGTGGCTAAGTAAAAGGGTCATTAGGATTAAATAAAACAATAGATGTAAAGTAGTACATAGTAGGCTCTGTTATTCACTCAACAAATATAGAGTGCCTACTGCGTGCCAGGCAGTGTTCTAGGCCCCGAAGATACGCAACTGAACACAACAAAGAGCTCTTCTAGAGAGAGGCAGTGTGGTGAAGTGGCTATGAGCCACACTGCCTGTGGGTGAATTACTAGCTGTGTGATCTTAAGCGAGGTACTTAACCTCTCTGTACCTTAGCCTCCTTGTGTGTAAAATAGATTAGCAATAGTGAACCTCATAGGCTTGTGTGACGGGACAGTGAGGCAATGCATTTAAGGTGCCTGGAACAGTGCCTGCTCGGTAAGCGTCGGGCGGTGGTGTATGAAAACGCCCCCCCATCTCCTCCGCATCGCCTAGGGTGCGCAGGCCCTCGAGCCGGCGAGACTGGGCAGCAGCGCCCCCTCCCGGCTGCCGAGCGAAGGGCGGCCTCCCCGCGCTCCCGCGGCCTCCCGCCCCGCTCCTCCGGGCGCCAGGCCGCCCCCGGAATTGCTCCGCCAGCCGGCTTCCGAGCGCGCCTCCCGCGGCGGCTCCGCGTGGGCACTTGGCCGGGCCGGTAAATGACATCTTCTCGTCTAACGCTCAAACAACCCTTGGAAGCGGACCCGGTTACTGTTTCCATTTCACCCAGGGGGAAACTGAGCCTCCGGGAGGTCGAGTCCCTCGTCCGATGCCACGCAGCGAGGGAACGGCGGGCCGCCAAGGCAGGCGGGTCCGGCGGTCCCCAGCCGCCGCGCGGTCGCCGGGCAGCCCGCCCCATCCCCGCGGCGTGCGCGCGCCGGTGCCGTGCGCGTGTGCGCGCCCCGAGAGCAGCCCCGGGGCCAGCGGCGCGGCCGGGGGCGTGGGCAAGGCGGGGTGGCCCCCGCGCACTGGCGGGGCGCGCGGGCGGGGCTTGCGCCGGGCCCCTGGCCCGCCCACCGGCCCCGCCCGCCGGCTGCCGGGGAGGCGGCGGCGCTGGGCGCGGGGACTCGGCGGGCGGCGAGGAGCGCGGAGCCGGAGCTGGACGCCGCCGCCGCCGCCACCGCCACCTGCGCGGCCGTCATCAAGGTAGGGCGGCCACGCGCCGCCGCCGCGCCTTACCGGTCCGCGCCGTGTGTGCGCTCTGCGCCGCCGGCTGCAGCGCCCGGGGAGGGATGCTGGGGCTCGGCGCGCCGCGGGGACCCGGCGGGGCGCGGGGGACCTGGCCTCCAGCCCCTCCGCGTGACCTTGCACAAAGCACTGCTCCTCTCCCGGCCTCAGTTTCCCCATCGGGAGAGCGGGCGCGGTGGTGGCCCCTTCCTCTCGGGGCTGTTGGGAGGGGCCGCCCCAAGCTCCAGGCTCCCGACGTCTCGGGACCCGGATGGGCACTGTCTGCACAGTCCACCCGCAGTGAGGGCCGCTCACCCTGGGTGTGGCAAGCAGGTCCCGACAGGCCTCCTGGGGCGGGGGGGTCGGGGGCGGGTGTGTGCCCTACGGGAACCGTGTTGTGACTTTCCCCCTCTTAGCTGGGTGACTTGCTGGGCCGGTACGGGAAATGGGAAGCTGGGGACACCCCCACGTCCCTGTCGAGCCGGCCTGGGCGTGCAGGATGGGGCGGTCAGACTCTGCCCACCAAGTCTGCCTCGCGGTCTGGGTCTGCGGGAGCTCTTGTTTGGAGGTGGTGGGCCCCTCAGCGCAGACTTGTGTGGACCGGATCCATGCAGGCAGCCTGGATTTAGGGAACGGTATGGGATGGCCTCTTGCCCTTCCCTGCCTGGCCGGCTGCTGGCGCCCAGCTCTGTGTTCCAGCCTGGTGGGATGCAGCTGGCTCACATCCGTGTGTGGACCCCAGAGAGGCTGCAGTGCCCAGAGAGCCGTGTCTGTGTGCGGTTGGGTCTGAGACAGAGCGCGTGTCTGATGGACTGTGGCTCCAGACTCTCTGGGTAGAGAAGACCCCTGGCATCTGCCCTAGCCCCTCAGTAAGATCCCCTCTGGAAGGTCTTGCTGCCCCATTGCACGCCCCATGTGACGGGGACCTCACCAGCTATAAACAGAGCTGGAGTCTGCTGGGGCTGCTCTGGGTGCATAGACAACATCTGACCCCTCCTCTCCTGGGGCCATTGTCTGGTCCCTAAATCTGCCGCCTCCTCCCGGCTGGACAGCCCCAGGCTCCACCGTTTCTCCTGCCAGAGCCACAGGGAGCAGAGGCAGGACAGGGGGCTGCGGGGGCTGCCACAGGGCGGGCAGTGGTCAGGCGGGGCTGGTTCAGAACCCACCTTCCTCCCCCATCCGGCGTGTTGCCATGCTTCCTGCTCCCCCTGCGCACCCTGGGGTTGGCAGCTGCCTTGGAGGTCTTGGGGGGTAGGAGGACCAGAGGCACCCTCTCCAGCCTTCCTGCCCCGGAGCCTCTGCCCTGTCCTCCCCTGCAGCCAGCCCTGATGGTGGGCCTGGCTTCTGAGAATCGAATCTGGGCCTTTTGGTCTCTCTTGTCCCCCTCATGACCTGCCCTGGCCCAGGAGCCTCCTTCCAGCTTAAGAAGGGAGGGAGCTCCTGGGCAGTGGCGAGCTCTGTGTCGTCGGAGGTGGCGAGCAGAGGCTGGATGTGCACTGCTGGGGGGGACTACTGTGCGTCTGGGATTCTAGCGCGGAAGTCGAGTGGCTGTGACTTGCCTTCTAGCTGTAGTGGAAGCTGCCCAGAACTTGGAGTGGACCACAGATGAGTGTTATTATCCCCTCGTAAAAGCAGGCTCAGTGTACAAGCTGGCACCGGGGCAGCTCCGACACACAGGCGTAGGTGCTCCCTGAGCCTTCATCGTCTCTATGATGTCTCATCCGACCCGCCTGCCTGCTCGGCTAGTCTGAGCCCTTGGGCGCGATTTAGGGCATGGCAGATTCTGGTTCTTAAACATTATCCTGCCCTGCTAATAATTTGAAAATGCACCCTGGAATTATGGAATGTCCAGGCTGAAAGGGATCTTAAGACATCATCTCATCCAACCCCTCATTTTACAGATAGGCCTCCCCTGTCCCCAGAGGGGACGTGACTTGTCAGAGGTCACAGCAAACCAGCAACTGAGCCCAGGGATGCTGATGCCAAGACCAGAGTGTGTGTGTGTGTGTGTGTGTGTGTGTGTGTGTGTGTGTTTGAAAACACATACCGTATAGTGAATGAAAGCAGTCTGGGTTTATTCCTATAAAATTAGCAAAAATCCATATCAAAGGATCACCCTCTGTGCTGGCAAAGCTATCGGGGTTGTCTGGTGCGTTTAATTTTGCAGGGCGATCCGTAGCTTGTTGCAAAAGTCTGTGAAAATGAGCCTACCTGTCCTTTGCCCCTGGCCTTCTACCGTGAGGCTTACCCTAAGGAAGTAATTAGAGAGAGACGAGTGGAGTGCTGGTGTTTATAAGAAGTTGTCTTATAGTGGAGAAGCTCTTGGGGAGAAGTACCTGAGGCTTACTAAGCATTTCCTTTGAAAAGTGCAGCTTAAAATTAGTGGCACGAAAGCGTCCCTTGCTGGAGGCTGGCCAGCGTGGAAGCAGTGTGGTCAGAGGAAGGGAGTCAGCGGACGCAGGTTCCAGGTGAACTCTCCCTCTACCCCACTGTGTGACCTCACGTCAGTCCCTTCCCCTCTCTGTACCTCATTTTCCCCATCTGCGAAATGGGGTAGAGTCAGTGATTGCTGAATTTCTTCAGCTCTGACAACCCACCTTTCTAGACTTAGCAAATCTCTGCAGCTGAAGCCTTTACTGGAAGGAGCGGTGGACACAGGGATGACCAGAGGGCGTTCCAGCCTCCCTCTCGGCGTTAAAGGAATCCCTTAGAGGTGAGAGGCCAGCCTTCTTCCCCTGGGAGGGGCCTCCTTTAGCCCTAGACCTTTATTATTTCCAAGTGGAGGAACCTGGATTATTTTAGAGCATAGCGTGTTTTTGTTTTTATCTTCTTTACCAAGTATCAGGGGACAGAGATTCTTCAGGAGAAACAGAAAATAATTCAGCAAGATCTTGTAATTATTATTTAAGTCTATGGTCCGTGCCTCGCCCCTTCAGAACAGGCTGGAGGTGCTTTGCGATCACACCTAGTTGAAGAGCCAGGAGTAGGTGACTTCACTTCTGTAGACCAACATTTATTGGGCACCTGCTGTGTACTAGGCCTTGAGGTGCCTTCTGGGCTCTGCAGGCTGCCCTGGGAAGCAGAGTAGGTTAAACTACGTGAAATGGTCAATATCTGACTGTTTTCGACTGGCAAGAAATGGCAATTTCACTTGGTTCGGCCTAAATGGTAAAAGATGTAATTAGAGAGCGGTGTACTCCCCACCATCATTGAGAGATGGGCAGGGTGCGGCGGGGACCAGCAACGTGTGATTATAAGCTTGGAGAAGTCAAGGAGGAAGGACATGGGAGCCTCCCCTTGAAGAATCAGTGATAATAATGATAACAGCTGACATTTGCTGGGACGGACCACGTGCCTGAGTCAGTCCCAAGCGCTTTCCATCCGTCCCCTTAGTCGTTCATCCATTCCTTCATGAAGTACCTACAAAGTGCGAGGTATTTTCTAGGTGATGGGGGTGGGGTCTTGACAGTAAACAAAACAGACCAAAAAAGTCTGTCCTAAAGGAGCTTACAACCTAATAGGACAAAAAGACAGACAGTAAACAGGTGAAACAGATGGTGATCGCTGGGATAGAGCAAGTGAAACGAAGGAGGACCTTTGGGTGTGTGAGGGGAATGGAAGGAGGGGTTGCAGTTTTAAATAGGGTGATGGGGCATCATTGAGAGGTTGACTTTTGGGCAAAGCCTAGAAGGAGGTGAGGGAGTGAGCTGGGCTGATTTCTGGGGAAAGAGCCATTCAGGTGGAGGGAACAGCCAGTGCAAGAGCCCTGAGGCAGCACCATGCCTGCGTGTTCAAGGAGGGGAGGAGCAGGCTAGAACAGAGTGACGGAGAGGGAAGAAGAGACAGGAGAGAGAGGCTGTGGAGCAGGTGGTGTACCCCACCCTGTACAGTATGGAATCCTGTAAGTTTGTGAGAGAGGTACTATTTTTAGTCCTCTTTTTTAGTTAAGAAAACAAAGAGCTTCAGTAACTTGCTGAAACAGTGTCTCACCGAGGGGCTCAGGCTCTTGGTCCAGGGCAGCGGGCGCCGTGGGAGGCTGTGAACAGAGCAGGGCCTGGCCAGACCTGAATGTTGGTGGAATCCCTCGGGGGTTCAGAGAGAAAGCTGTAGAAATAGCCAGGCCTGGGGTGATGAGGTTGGACCTGGGCAGTGAACCAGTGAAGGTGGGGGCCGAGGGCCTGCCATGCTTGGTGCGGGGGGTAGGGGGTCCAGTCCAGGGGAGCAGGAAGAGAAGGAGGAAGCCGGGCTGGTCTTGGGCTTATTTATTTAACAAACGCTTGATAGCACTTCCTATGCTCAGGCACCACCTAAACCTTGCATACATAACGCATTCAGTCCTCAAAGCAACCTGTGGGATACTGTTACTTATTATTACTCCCATTTTCTCAAATGGGTGTATTATATTGTATGTAAGTCAGCTTTCAATAAAGTTTACTTACAAAGAAAATATATTTGTTTTTTCTGTTATAAATACTTGATGATAATGGAGAATTTAGAAAAAGACAGGAAAACAGAAAATAAATTACCCACATCTCTTTTCATCTCAGAGCCTCAATGTAAATTTTTGGTGTATTTACTTTCAGTCTTTTTTCTCCTATTATCCCCATTTTACAGAAGTGGACACTGAGGCCCAGAGGTCAGGCAGCTCGCCCAAGGTCATACATTTGAAACCGTGTCATCTAGCTCCAGTGTCCTGGCTCTCGCTCACTGTGCTGTGCAGCCTATAGGCACACCCCACCCTGTCAGAGTTGGTGGGCTCCCCTGAGACACCCCCATCCCCTACTCCCCCTGCCCCCAGCCTCATTTCCCAGACAGGGAAAGTGAGGCCAAGTGAAAGGCAGGGCCTTGGTCAGCATCTCCCAGCCCGTCGGGAGCAGACACGTGAGGTCTTGTTCTAAGAAGAAGAGATAGGGGGCTGAGAACTTGGGCAGGGTTGGTGTGACAGCTGCTTCCAGCCTGGCCTTGAGCCCGGAGCTCGCAGGGGCTGGCAAGTGGCATGACCTTGCCCACAGGGAGTGCCGGGACCGCCGGGGCACGCCTCTGCTCCCTGGGCCCGAGAGTCTCACCCCTCCAGCCATCCCTGGGTGGGAGGAGGCTCCGTGACGGGGAGGGTGAGTTTGGGGCCTCGCCAGGCCTCCAGGCCCCCTGGGAGTTGTCTCTTGTACTCTGACTGTGCATTTATTTCTGGCTCTGGTGCCAGCAAACTCCTGGGCCGCTGCTGCCAGGGATGCAGCCCTGGCTTCTGGGCCCAGCGCAGCCGCTGGGTGAGCCTCGGGCCGTGTCTTTCCCTCCCCACCTGCAAAATGGCATCATAATGGTGCCAGCCACAGGATAAAGTGAGATGTAGGTGGGGTGCTGGCCTGGGGCGGGGCACTGGGGTGCCCCATAGATGGCCAGCCAGGGCTGCCGTCCCTAAGGCTACCCCAGGGTGCTGGCCGGGGCTGGGGACTGAGTCTGCCCCAGCTGGAGCCCCTCCACAGCGCTGCCCCTGCCAGGTGGGGCCCAGCCAGTGCCAGAGGAGCTGGAAATGCACCTCAGGCGGTGGCTTGGCACCCGAGATTGCAGACCGCAGGGGACCCACTGGAATGAAAGAAGCCACACTTCTGAGGAGGGAGACCGGGCCCGGCTGCTGACGTGCTCTGTGGGCAAGTCCTCTCCCTTCCTTCTGCCCCTTCTCACTATAAAGCGGGGCGAGTATTCCTGCTTAATCCTCAGACTGAGCTTCGTGCCAGCAGCCGTCTGCTGAGGCTTTTCTGTGCTTGGGGAGTGCGGATGGGGACAAGCCAGGCCCGTCACCATTCAGGGGCCGCAGCCTGGTGGAGGGGCTCCATTCTCATGGGGAAGCCCAGGAGCTGTGGGCCCTCAAGGAGGGGCCTCTCCCCCCGCCTGGGGCCAGGCAGGGTGGGGGGCTCCCTGGAGGAGGTGACGCCTGAGCGGGGTTGTTGGTGGGGTTTGGAGTCAGCCAGACTCTGAAGGGGAGGGACGCCAGTGCAGTCACCGGGGCAGCCGCCCTCCTCGCTGAGCCTGTGGGATGGAGATGATGACGGCTGCTTTGCCCGCTCTGTGGGCTGTTTGGGAGGCTCAGCACGGGAGAAAGAGTATGGAGGGCTGTGTGAACTGAACCACCGGGTGCCTCCCGGGGTTGTGGGTGGTAGTCCCAGAGCCCCAGGGGTTGGGGATGTGCCCGGCCGGCGTCTGGGACTGGGGAACGGTTGGCCTGTTCTGAAAGGCCGACACTCTGAGCCAGCAGGGGTGGACGGCTGCCGTGCCCCTCACAGCCCTGGCCTCGAGTATTTCTGTGCAGGGGTGTGGCTGTGCTCAGAGGGGGCCCCGAGGGCAGCTACAGCCCTGTCCCAAGGAACGGGGGACAAGTGTCCACAGAAACCCGTCAGGCCCAAAGCACTGCGTCCTGGTAGAGGCCTTGGGGGCCTCCGGAGGCTGTTGGGACCTGCCGGGTGAAGGGAGGAAGGACGGGGAGCACCGTGAGGTCACCGAGAAGAAGCCAGTCTGAGCAGAGAGGTCGGCATGTCGCATTAACTGGGAAGTCAGGGAAGAGAGCCGTGTGTGTGGAACAGCCTATTTGGGTTTGAATATGGGAAAGAATACGTCTATACCCAGGTAAATGTAGAAAGGTGCTCAGACGCACATCCAGCCGGCTGACTATCGTGAGATGGCAGAATTTTGTTTTCTCCTTTTTTCTGCATTTTTAAATCTGTATATGCAATAGACATTTTATTTCTCTAGAAATCGGGCTGTAAGTGATATCCGTTACACTGTAATGATAACGTAGACAGTGTGATCATCTGGCCAGTCTGACGGCACCAGGTGGAGGGTTTAAGGAGGCACCCAGGGCACGAGGACTTGGGTGAGACCTGGGTGATATCCCAGTGCTGGCCTCCCACATGGTTGCGAGCAGAGCCCAGGGGAGGCTGACGCAGGAGCGCCCTGGAGGAGAGGTCTCTGGGGGTCTCGGGGTGGGGGTGGGGGTGTCGCAGGACTCTCTTCCTGGGACAAAGAGGGCAGTTTTAAGTGGCTGTAAGCACAGTCAGCATTGTGACCAGACTGCCCTGGAGCCGGAGACCACACGCTGCATCAGGGGTGTAGGGTCGGAGCCAGAAAGCCGAGGGTCCCGCTGAAGTTTGGGCCACCCCCTGGGTGGGACTGGGACAGCCAACCTGGATCCAGATGGTCGCCAGCCTGGGGACGGCCTGTGCCTTCAGCCTCCGCGACGCTTCATGGTCCCCCCTGCGGGCCAGACCTCAGCGGACCCTTTTCCCTCAGTGATGCGAGTTCTCGGTCTTGGTCCCCGGGACTCCACAGGCCTTCCTGCCTCTCTGTAGAGAAAGAAAAGAAACTAAGCGGCTGCCGCATTTCCTTGAACGTGGGCACCATCTATTGTGAGATGTACCATTATTTTATAATCCATTAAGAAAGAAAAATACGGCAGACAATTAAACTATCATTATCCCAGTTGCATCCCGGTTTCAGAGATGTTAAAATCTTAAAAACTGTGGGTCTTGGAATCAATTAGATATGACACATGGCAGGCCCCACACTAGACTCTGAATGTACATTCATTCATTTCATCAGTACAGCAAACTCTTGGCTAGATATTCTTGTTCTCTTTTTACAGATGAGGAAACGGGCTCAGAGAGGTTAAGTGACTTTTGCAAGGTCACACAGCCAGCAAGAAGCAAAGCTGGACCCTGCTCTAACTAGATTTGAACCCTGCTCTAACTAGATTCCACCACTTTTTTCTCATCCCACCTCACAAAGGAAAGGCTCCTGAGTGCTGGCCCTTGGGAAGAAGAGAATGTTCCCACTGCAGAGTAAACGGATGTCAGTTCAGAAATGCCCCAGTGGACTGGTCATTAAACTCCCAATGCTCTGAGTCACAGGGGAGGCCTGGGAGGCGGCAGGCAGATAACAGGCAGGAAGGAGCGTTGGAGCTTGTCGGCTGGGCCATCGGCCTCACCCTGGTTATGACTGTTACTGGGAGTAGGAGTAGTGCCCACCTTGGAGAGACGGCAGAGAGGGGCCGCTCGTTCATTCCCTGAAAAGTCATTTTTCCGTGTAATTTTTTGAATGAGGTCTTTGTTCGTGAGCTGATCACTGTCTGCATGTGAAGCTCAGCTCAGTGCTGGGGACGCAGAGCAGAGCAAGACGGACACCAGCACCGCCCCCGTGGGCTCTCCGAGAGTGCCCAGAACCTGGAGCAGGTGCCTGAGGGGGAAGAGGGGGTGTGGGAGCATGCAGAGCAGAGGAGTGTGCCCAGTCCACGGTCACTACTGAGGCCACTCCGAGGAAAGGACTTGAGAGCTGAGCTCTGAAAGATGAGTAGACAGTAACCAGGTGAGGAGGGAGGGGCAAGCTGGGTGAGAGAAGGAGCCTGTGCAAAGGCCCTGAGGCTGGAAGAAATCGACCTTTGAGGAATTAAAAGCACTGAGTGTCTGTGGCTCTGATGCCCAGACAAGGTGAGGCCGGAGAGGTGGTGTGGGCAGACCCTTGGGCCCTGGAGCCGTGGCCATGGAGTGGGTGCTCAGATTTGCATCTTTTGAAAAAGTCAGAGGCAAGATGATTGGTGGCTGAGATTAAGTGGCCAGTGAGAGCAGGTGGCAGCAATGGGAGTGGAGCTAAGTGGGTGGTTTGAGAGATGTTTAGGTGGTGGGGTGGGATCAGTGACAGAGGGAGGCCACGTGGGCCCCCCGGGGTCTGCTTGCGTGGCAGTGCCCTTCACAAGGCCTGACTCACAAGGGAGGGGTGCTGGGGCGGCCCAGCTGCCGTGGGACAGGCTTCCCCGAGGTGCCGTCTGTCCTGCTCTGGTCTCTGTCCGTGTTTCCCCAGAAGTGCTTAGAGATCCTGCTTCACCCAGCTTTGGGGTTTTGCCAGACGATGTGGAAACAGCCAGTGGAGAGGATTTTCGGGTGTTGCTAAGAGCGGGGCGAGGACCCGTCAGCCTGTGGGAGGGAAGCGAGTGAGGAGAGAAGGAGACAGACGCGTGGGGAGAAGGATGCACCTCCTCATGGGTGCAGACCTGCGGGAAGGGAGGCCTGGCCTGGTGTCCCAGATTCTGGGACAAGAAGACATTGCAGTGTGTGGACATCACGTGGCCAGACCCCGTCCCCAAAGCTGGCCTCTCAGAAAAGCTGGAGCCGAGCTTGGTGGTGGAGTCGAGGCCTCGCTGAGTGGGCTCTGTTGTCCTGGAGAGAGGTCTCTGGTCCAGGGCTCTCTCCTTGGGCCTGAACCTGTTTTAATTGGTCCATCTGGGGTGCTGACAAAGGGTTGTCACATCTGAAAGGTGACAGGAAGCTGGAGGTGGGGAAGATGTGGTCAGCCAGGTGTGCTTGAGTTAGTGACTGTGGAAGCAGGTGGAACTTTCTCACACGATGACAAAGTGCAGGGCGTGGCCGAGAGGAGGGACGGCCGAGGTCGAGGAAAGGAGGCTGTTTGGAGATGAGGTGGTCCTTGTACGGAGGGGAAACTGAGGCTGGCAAGGCAGTGGGACTTGTCTGAGTTCACACAGCGAGGAAGTGGGTCTCCTGGTGTGGTGCTGTGGGTTCCAGATTTCAGAGGCGGTTCCTTTCCTGAATCGTCCTCTGGAGATGAGAACATGATGCTGCTGAGTCTGCAGCCCGGCAGAGGAGTCCTAGCCGGCTGCGGGATGGACGGGAATGCCGGCGGGAAGACTTCCTGGAAGAGGGAGCGTCTAAGCTGAGCCGGTGGCAGCTGGACGTTACTGGGAGGAGTTACTGGCAAAAAGGAACAGCACGAGCAAAGGGCTGCGGCGGGCAGCGCACTGAGCCTGTGTGGGACGTGAGGCCAGGCCTCCCCTCCCGCAGGTCTACTCCCCGTCAGCCTCCATGTCTCCTCATTCTCCTTCCTCCCTTTCCCCTCTTTCCTCGCACATACAATGGTGTTTGGCTCAGGCTCAGGGAAATGTATGAGGTGCCGGCCAGAGACCAAGGGCAGGGGTGGGAGCAGCCGGCCCTGGCAGGGGGAGCGATTTGTCACTGACACCGTTTACAATTGCAGGCACATCATGATAATAAAAAGTCAGACTTTTTGATTTTATTGTTTTTAAGTGCTCTGTAGAAAATGTACCCACTTGCTGTCTGCACCCAGGCTGGCTGCTTGCCTCCCTCCTGCCCATGTCCCCCTTGCCCCACCCCTCTTCTTGCTTTACTCCTGGGCCAGACCTGGGCTTCCAATGCCCAGCTGAGAAGCCGTTGGAGGTTTTGGAATAGGGGTGCCGCCGTCTCACGGTAGCCCGAGTGGGGCTCAGCCCAGGAGAGGTGCGGGCAGAGACCAGGAGGACGGCCTGGAGGAGGCGGGAAGCACCTGGGAAACGGCGCGGATCGGAGCAGGGGAATGGAGCTGTGGGGACAGGAGCAGAATTTCAGGCCCAGGCCTCAGAAGGCCCAGGGCCTGGCTTCACAGCTGCCTGCCCCACGCCGGGTCTGGGCCAGCTCACCCGGGGGCCCGCTGGCCACAGGCTCCGGGTCCTGCGTGCCCAGGGCTGCGGGCGGCGGCAGAGGCAGCGTCCTCAGGCTCTGGGGCGCCCCAGATCTCACCCCCTAAGCATAACCTTTCACAGCGGTAACGCCCCTCAGGGGTTCCTCCCCAGCCCTCGTGGGCACTCAGACAG